ACTGCATAACTTGAAAATAATGAACTATCAAAATTTTCATGTTCTGAATTCAAATAAGATTCAGAATCATTATCTGATACTTCAACTCTCCAATGATTAACATTTGAATTAAAATATTTATTCAAAAATCTGGTGATTATTTAGAGAATTTTGGATATGGATTTGGTTATAATAATTTATTATTAAATTAGCAATTTTTTCAATTAATTAATTATAAAATATTGTAAAAATATCAATTTTTTTGATTTTTATGAATTTGAAAATCAAACTAATTTATCCAGCGTCTATCAACGTCGGTCAATTTTCCTACATGAGTACATGTCATATTGATTTTTTTTTAAAAAAAATAATAATTTTGTAAATTATTTTTTTATTTAATAATAATAAAAAAAAAAAATCTGGGGGTAAGAAAAAGGATAAAGAAAGAAATCGGTTCAAAAAAAAAGGGAATTTTTGAAAAAAAAGGATAATAATTCGGTCCAAAAAGAGTGAAAAAAAAATTAATAACAATAAAAAATTTTCAGTTTTGGAAAAAAATTGAACCTAAACGGGAAAAGAATGAGAAAAAACAAATTTTTCGGTTTGAAAAAAAACTAAACCGAAAGAAGAAAGGGAGAAAATTTTTTTTCAGTTTGAAAAAAAAACGAAAAATTTAAAATTAATTAATCAAAAAAAAAAAAATTTCGATTAAGGTAAAATGTACACGGATAAATGGAGGCATGTCACGGGTTTTAATTATATATGGGATTTCAAGTTACACAATTCAAGTTATTTATGCAGAGACTAATCCAAAACGTCAGACAAATTTTTTTAGTTAGTTATATAGATTTATCAAAAATTTATTATAGATTTAATTATAAAATTATTAATATTGTTATGTATCAAACAAATCTCACTGAAAAAAAAATTTTCATGCGAATTTATTAGTCAAAAATATCATTGACTAAAAAAAATCTCACTAAGCATCGAAAAAGCTGTTAGGACATAGTTCTAATCTGATTATAGTCTTGAGTCTTGACCCAAACCAAAAAAGAACAAACAATATTTTTTGGGTTAAAAAAAAAATTCCAAAAATTTGATAAATTTCGATTAAAAAAAATCCCCTAAAAAAAAAATCCAATAAAAATAAAACAAAAAAAAAAGAATAAGAAAAAATTTTGGTTAACCAAAAGAAACAATTAAAAGGTAGATTCGGTTTTTATGGTAAAAACTGAAAAATAAAAAAAAATTAGTTAGTCGTGGTAACTAAAAGAGCGGAAATGACCACAAATAAAGTGCAATTAATAAGAAAAATTATACGTTTTTTTGTTAGTATTAATCCATCTGACAGTTAAAATTTTAATTAACCGGAAATGTATTAGTTTAAAGATTGGTTATCATAGTCAGTTAATTAAATAGACCGAACGCAAGAATATCAAAATTTTTTTAATTAGATAGATACTTCTTTACTCGTCATTCTTATATTTTATTACAACCTTTACACATGATCAAATCTGGTGAGTTATCTATCGTTGTACTATTTTTTGAAATCATGTGAATGTCCATTCTTTTATAATCATTTTTACTTTTAGACTGTTTCTTATCGACACAAAAAACTGGTTCATTACTTTCATTCCATGTAATAATTTCGTTTCTCTATTGTTTTTATCTACATCTTCATCATATCTCGATATGTCTTTATTATTGAATTCCTTTTTTATTTTAAATTCTCTTTTTAAATATCTACTATTACTATCCTCTGTCAATTAATTTGAACCATTTCGGTATTTTTCCCTTTAAGCCTTTATCTTTTTCCGAACATAAGTATTTCCATTTCATTAATTTACCACCATTGTATTCTATTAATTGATCGAAAAAAATTATTTCTTTCTTTTTTAATGAATTTCTCGCTCTTCTAAACTCCCTTTCTCCTAGTAATTTCCTAACTTCCAATTCACCTCTAATTAGATGATCATTTTTGCTACTTATAATTACACATATTTTAAATTTTTAATGTTCTCATCACTTAAAATTTTTTAACGCACCGCCTATATAACTATTTTTATTATTGCCCAAATAGCTACCGTTGTCACCCATACAACCATTTATCCAATTATCCAATTGTAATTGAATCATCTGAATTTCAAATAAATTTTTTAAAGTCTCATTACCGGTCGCTTGGTACAACATAGCATCTCCCACTTGTAAATCATATATATGTTTTAGACCATATATATCTTTGTCATACATAATAAAATTTGGAGTATATATAGCCCGCAACCGGCACTATGTTTAACTAACGTATTTATATTAATCATTAACTTATCATATTCTTCTTTTCTAAGAATCACTCCAGACATTTGATACTCGATCCTCGGTATAATCACTATACATTCCATACCGTTATTATCTGTTTATCACTTAATTTTTTCCATCTCATTAATTTGATCGCTTTATTTTATATTATCATTTTTTATTCTTTGAACGTATATTTTTCTTTTGTTATCATATCTGAAGTAGAATCCTAAATATCTATTATCTTCTATGTTGTTCATTTTACTTTATTGATATATCATTTATTTTTTGGATCCTTTCTTTACTATTGATTTTATTGCTGTTTTCAGAAATGTTGACATTAGAATGTCGATCATTTCTATAAATCGAACACACCGAACACACACCGAACACAGCAATTAAAATTAAAAAAAAACAAATTTTCCTTTAAAAAAAGCAAAATTAAAACTTTAGTAATATATTTTTAGGTAGTGTGCATAAAAAAATGTATAAAAATTATATTATTTGCATATATGTATTCACTTGTATTTGCTTGTATTTGCCAATTTTCGGTGTGTTCGGTGTGTTCGTTTGTGTTCGGTGTGTGTTCGGTACAAATTTTCATATTTTCAATTTTATTCATATCTAAAAAGTGACAAAAATAGTTTTTATATAAAGTTATGCATGAATACTTCAAGTTTGCATAATTTTTTGTATGTGTTCACGGTGTGTTCGGTGTGTTCGGTATAAAATAGTCAAAATTTCAGATTGTCAACATTTCTGAAAACGGCAATAATCAGTTCGTATTTTTGACGTTCGCTCGAATATCGTTAATATTGAAAAGCTCGGGACATATTTTAATTAATCTCTAGATTTTCTTTCTTTGCAATTAATGTCGTATATCTACACAAATCTCTCTGATTGGCAATTGTAACTTACACATGACTCCAGTAATATCACGTGTTTCGCATTATACAATTCTTTATATGGAGACTATTCTAAACGTCAGAAGAATTTTTATTAGTTATATACTAATATTAAGGAATTTTGATTTTGGATATAACTAAAGAGAATGATATTAAAATCGAAACTAATATTGATAAGCAAATAGTAGTTAAATTATATTAAAGTGAAGAAATTCATTTATAAAATACTAAGATAGTTTAATATTGATTTCATATTAATATACAAAAATGGAGAAATAATTGCAGTAAATATAAATTAAGTAAATTAAGCAATTTATTTAAAAAATTCTTCCTAAACAAGTATCAAGACAGTCAAAAGAAGAATTGAAATCTTATATCTAATAACAGTTATTGATTACAATGCATGCACCATATCATTTATTATAATAAAATTATAAATTCTACTGTAAATAAGTAACTTCTTATTAAAACAATAATTTAGGTATTCTCGCATCAATACTACATTCTATCCACTAATAAATCAAAATTAGGATAATTATATGGTATCGCTAATATTGGAAGAAGTAATATATCTCACTAAGATCACGGTTATTAACTGTGAAAGATAATAACAAAAATCATGTAATTGTTAATTAAGCTTAGGGATGCAAAAAGTTCAGTCACACCGATCATTACTGGTGGTTTTTACCAGTTCGATTATCAAGTTCAGTTCAAGTCCAATTAACCGTTGGATATTTGTTTATATAAAAAAAGACAAATCGATCAGTTATTTCAAATATATATATATATATATATTTTATACATTAAAAATGAAGAATTTAGTATTTATATATGCAGGGTATCCGGACTTTCACCGAAGTCCATTTTAACGAAACCCATTTAGCAAAAGCCATTTCGCCAAAGTGAAATTTCGCTGAAGTGTCATTTCTTCGAATAGCCCATTTCTCCAAATGAACATTTCGCTAAAATAGTAGCGATCTAAACTATTTTTACGATAAAATACCTTTCTTTCAGAATATTATTACTTTAACATTCGAGTAACTTATATTCATTGTTACATAATTAATAGACGATTTTATTTCATTCTATTTTTCTTTTTTTTAAACTTGATGATTTTAATTTCTTCAATTAATTGAAAATCATTAAAGGTAAAATGTATAGTAATTATAAAGTTCAGAAAATTATAATTTTACAATCATAACTATACATTTAAACAAAATGTTCATTTAGAGGATATTATTAAATAAAATTATAATCAACACTTTCTAAATATTTTATTCAGTTTAACAGTAAGTTTTGTCTGTTCAGTTTTATCGATCAATTTGCGGTTTGTTTGGTTTTGATTGAAAACCACGATTTTAAAACCAAAACCGAACTGAACCAAAAATATAAATACACTGTACAAAAGATACTATAGTATGACCCAGTCATTTTTCATTTACCAACATCAAATTTCACTTTTTTACAACTAAATTCTTTAAATAAAAATTTCAAATTATCATATCAATAATTTATAAGAAAAAAAAATTACTACATTTTTTTTTTATTAACAGTTTTCTTTTAATGACTAATTTAAATAAGTTGATACAATATATAAATTAAAAAAAAAATACAAAATATAAATTTTTTTATTTATAAAAATTAATAAGTAAAAAAAGATCATGATGTGTAAGAACTATTATGTAATAGGTACTAATTTAATGAACTTTTTATTTACGCTTTTAAAGCATTATCATCACGTTTAAAATATTCACAAACATTAAATAAAAAAATATGATTTTTCGTATTTTTAATGAATTTTTATGAATTATTTATTTTATTTTATTTTTTTTGAAGTATTTCTAATCTATTTTGTGCATTTTTATATCCTTGCTTAGCAGATTTTTTATACCAATAAATTGCTTTATCTATATCTTTTGTAATTCCTTCTCCATTTTCATACATAAAACCAAGATTATGTTCTGCTGTCATTTCTCCTAAATTTGCAGCATTTTGATATAATTCAACTGCTCTTTGTTTATCAATTTTAGTTCCAATACCATTATTATAGCAATTTCCTAACAGAGTTATCCCACCTAAATCTCCTCCTTCAGCTGATTGCTTAGACAATTCGAATGCTTTATTATAATCTTTTTTAACACCTATTTCATTTTTATAACAAAGACCAAGATTACGCATAGCAATTATATTTCCATTATTTGCAGCTTTTTCATACCAATAAATAGCCTTTTTTATATCTTTATTAATACCTATTCCGTTTCTATAACAGTAATAACCAACATCTAATTGTCCACATGCAAAATTTTTATTAGCTACTTTTTCAAAGTATTCAAAACCTAATTTTTCATTTTTTGTAGTTCCAATTCCACGTAGATAACAATCACCAACAAAATATTGTGCTAATATATGATCTTGATTTGATGCATTAATAAATAAATTGAAAGATTTTTTATGATCTTCACTTGTTGCAATTCCATAACGATTAAAATATCCAAATAAAAAAATTGAATTTGAACTATTTTGATTATTTGATAACCAATTATAAATTTCTTCTGGATTAGTACTAAAATTATTAAGATATTCAATAACTTGCCCTTTTATTAATTTCCATTCAATTCCTTTGTTTGATACATTATAAATAAAATCATTTATTTCATCAACTATTGTTGAAAGATTTTCTTGTTTACTTAAAACTACCATAGGATCAATTTCTTTTGTATTCATTTTATTAAAATTTTGAATAAGTTGAGATAAATCTCCTTGTAATTCTGAATTATTAGTATTTGAAGCATCATTGACTTCTTGTTCACCTGACAATTGAAAATTTTCTGCAATTGCATCTGTTTTTGTAATCATTTCTTTTAAACAACCAACTACTTGAAATATATTTGGACGATTATCTGGTTCACCATCCCAGCACTCTAAATAATAAATGTAATTTAAAATTAAGAAAAATAATATTTAAGTAATTACATTTAAAATTTACTTACTAGTATAAATTTTTACATAATTTTTGGGTGTATCAGGAACAACTGTTTCTCTAAGACCTTGTAAAATCTCTAAAGCTAAACCAACATCATATCCTCCACCTTCAACATAAAAAGGAGGTTGTCCATTGGATATTTCCCATAACAATACGCCAACACTGTAAACATCGCTTTTTTCATTTAAATAGTAAATTTGCGATGTTTGGTTATTATTATTTCTTCGTCTATTAAAAATTTTTGGATCAACATAAGGAACCATTCCAAATATTTTGGATTGAACATTTGATGATGCTCCGATTCTTTTTGATAATCCAAAATCCGCCAATTTGATCGTGTTTTGATGAACTAATATATTACCAGAATGCTATTAAAAAGTTATATATAAACTTAGTAATGCAAATATAATATTATAGACAATGATTGAAGAAGATAAATAAATTACCAGGTCACGATGGACAATCCCTTAATTATGTAAGCATGACACAGCGCAAGCTAACTGGTATGCCATAATATATTTATCATCCCATGTAAGTTTAACAAAGATTTTTTCAAAATAACTTCGAAGACTGCCATTATTAGCATATTCCATTACTAACATATAATTATTACTAACATGATATTCTAAAGAACAAAAGAAAATATTAAAATGTATTTTTTATGAGTAAAATATGTATATTATTAAAGTATCATTATAATACCTGCTGACTCAAATTTCGTTATTCCATGACAATGAATAATATTATCATGATAATCAACTTCACGTTGATTTTTTAACTAAATAAATCCAAATTTTAATAAATAAATTTTAATAAACGATGTTTTAATGATAAAAAGAAAAATTTTTTTATTCAAAAATTACCTCACGAATAATTTCTTTTACGGTGATATTGTTAAGACTAAAAAAAGACTTTACCGCAAAACATTTATATAAATTTTTCCAATTTGCACGGTACACTTTACCAAAACCTCCGGTACCAATTTCTTGAAAGTTATTAAATTCCTTGTATTCATAATATTTTATATGTTCTTTGTCAATAGCTTCTTCAATCCACTTAATCCATTCATTTTTATTCTCGGTATCTTGCATTTTGATATTATCAGATATATTGAATAGTAATAATTTGACAGAAAAGTGTTTAAAACGATCGTTCAAAGTTGTAAAAAAAAAAAAATATTTTTAGTATTTTTTTATGCAATTTAATTCCCGATAGTCGTACAGTGTCACAAACAAAAGTTGTCAATCACTTGAATTTTAGCCGCAGTACCGCAGTATTGATATGTTACAAAGTGAAAAGTTAACCTTAGAACCATAGTCCATACGCCGAAAGGACGTTTCCCTGAAAGTGTATTTATCGAATCCATTTCACTGAATCATTCATTTTGCTGAATTCCATTTCGCCAAATGGACATTTCACCGAAATGGTAGCGATTAACATTTATATTCATTGCGCAATGAAAATAAAAATTAAATTATTTTTAGAGAATTTTTTATCCAGGATATTATCACTTCATCATTCAAGTAACTAATATTAGTAATTGTTAAGCAATAAATAAATAACTTTGTTTTCCTGAAAATACTATCACGAAAAAATAAGTAAAAAAGTTTAATGTATTATAAACAACGATAAAAATCAGCTAGCAATTAAAAATTTATCTAGAAAAGATTTTTTATGTATTTAGTATAAAACAGTAAAATAACCAAACGGAATAAATAATTTTTGTGAAATGTCCATTCGGCGAAATGTCCATGCTTTGGAGAAATGAAATTCAGAGAAATGGGGTTTTGGTGAAATGGTTCGGTGAAATGTCCTTTCGGCGAAATATCCCTTTGGTGAAATATTCCTTTGGTGAAATGGCTTCGGCGAAATGGGTTTCGGTGATGAAAAGTCCAGATACCAATTACATTTCTCTGAATGAACATTTCGCTAAAATGGTAGCGATCAATATTAAAGAACAAATTCTTTTTAAACTATTTTTACGATAAAATACCTTTCTTTCAGAATATTATTACTTTAACTTATATTTATTGTTACATAATAATTAATAGACGATTTTATTTCAGATAAAATGTATAGTAGTAATTCTAAAGTTCATATAAAAAAAAATTATAATTTTACAATCATAACCAATTAAACAAAATGTTCATTTAGTGGATATTATTAAATAAAGTAAATATTTTATTCAATTTTACAGTAGTCCTGTTCAGTTTTATCGATCAATTTGTGGTTTGTTTGGTTTTGATCGAAAACCACAATTTTAAAACCAAAACCAAGTGAACTGAACCAAAAAAATAAATACACTGTACAAAAGATATAGTATGACTCAGTCATTTTTCATTTACCAACATCAAACTAATCAATTCACTTTCTAAACTAAATTTTTTAAATAAATTTTTTTTTTTTATAAGAAAAAAAAAGATCATTACATTTTTTTTTATTAACAGTTTTTCTTATAATTTTTTTTATTTTTATTTTTATTAGCAGAACACATTTTTAACAGTTTTTCTTTTATTTATTTATTTTATGTGAAGCCGGACAGACTATTCAAAAGGACATATACCAAACGTGAGTTATCCTACTTCTAGCTATCATCCATCACCAGGATGGACCCAAACTTCTTTAAAGACGTTGGAACCAGCCTGATCCCCTCTACTACCAAAGGAAGAACAGGAACCACAATTAAAAAGCAAACTAATTAACCCGTATTTTTCTTTCGACAAAAGTCACCACCTGTAAATACTGTCATAGGTGGAATGTTTCACACTATTTGTAATTGTTAAAATCTATCCTAAAACGAACTATAAATTCAAAACATGAAATACATAATATGAAAACTAAACTAGGTTAAGTACTAAATTTGAAAATTAAATCTATGTTAGCGGGTAAGAAGTCGTCTTCTTTAGTTTCCCTAAAATCGAAAATACAAAGTTTTTTTGTTAGAGGTATAAGATCTCCATAATTATGATAATGAGTATATCTTGCGCGATGCTTTTTTGGGTGACGTTCTATTATTTTCGTATCATCAGAGGTATCACCAAGGTCATCTTTAACATATTCTACATCATTTGGTCAGATAATAGCGTGGTACGGTTTAAAGGGGTAGTGTTCATCCCTATATTTTTTACCAAAATCTGTTATCAAAGTGTTAAGACATCTTGATGTAAGTATATGTCTATCAGCAACTTTTTTCGTATTTGTTCTAAATGCAAATTTGCGAATTTTATCCATACGCTCGTGAAAGGTATCATTCATGCGAGTGAAAAAGGTCATAGCCAGAGTAGGGATTGGAATCGATTCCCATTATTAGAATCGATTCTAAAATCGATTAATCGCGATTAATCATTTCGCAAATACTGATTTTTTTTTATACTATTTATAATAGGTGTGTTTAAACACATATCACGTGATTACAAAAAATTACAGTGATCGACGAACAAATTTCCTTTTTTGGAAATTTGTACAACCTTGTGTGATAGCAACTTGAATTTTATTGGGAGATAAATTTCCTTTTTAGGAAGTTTGTGTTCCGTCACGTGATTCGCGGGCGGAATTATGAATTTGGCCAAAATTAACTATTATGAACAAATAATAATTTACGGTCAAATTAACGAAACTGCGCCACAATAAGTAGATTCGATTTTTATTCGAGATTCGATTTAAAATCGATTCTTATCGATTTTCGATAGTTTCGATTTTAATCGAATCTTTTCCGATCCCTAAGCCAGGGTTGGGAATTGTACTAGTACAGTACTAATACAGTATAGTACAGTACTAAGTACTGTACTTGTACTTGAAAATTTAGTACAAATACAATTTTAGTACATACTATTAATAAATTTTATTGGTTAATTTTATAAATATAAACAATATTGATCACATGATATCTACCTAAAATGGTTAAATTATATCCTAAAAAGTAATAATTGTATTAGTACAGTGTACTTAGTACTTGTACGAAATTTTTGCTAGTACAGTACGTACTAGAATTTTGCTAGTACAGGTGTACTACCACAACCCTGGTCATAGCATTTGTACGCCTAAGATAATGTTTGGCAGCAGTATTGTGATCCCTTATGTCTTTAATGACATTTTCCTCTCATTGAGTCGATCACGTGCTTTGATCTCGTCAATATGATATTCATTTAGACCTAGCATATATGCATCTCTCAAGGATAGTCAAATTGTAGTATCCTGTAATAGTGATACGGCATCAATATATTTGGATGCACCTTTGCCATAGTGTTCATCGATGAGGTTTTCAATGTACCAATCCCTATAAGAGTTTTCTGATGTGTCGTCCCTGCCATTATCGGCTGAAGAGTTATCCTCTTCATCTGAGTCCTAATTTGTGGTATTATTTCTTGATGTAAGAAGAGTATGAGAAGGAAAAAACCTATCCTTAGCTAGGTGTAAAAGAGCGCGATTCTGATCATATGGAAAATGAAACAAGAGAATGGTTGGGTAACGTCCAAATAATCCCATATTAAATTTCAAATGCAGGATACATGTATGTATCTTTTGGTGTGAATAAAAAAGGAACTTCCTTTGATTCACAAGGCTAATCTTATGCCAAAGTTTGAGAGCTGACCCAGAGTTAGGTTTATTATTATTGAAGATACGTTGACAAGATCTATCAAAACGAGTTTTTTATCTTGCAGCTGTTCGTGGATTAGAACTTGGTGATTTAGTGAAATTCTCATATATCTTGGTATACATAGGACCAATGGCCTTATTAGGGGGTGAGATTATTGAGTTAAGGTCATGTGCTTCGTAACGCATTGTATAAGATATGCCTAATTGATTTGAAAAATCTTTTGCCTCGAGTTATTATTATATTTTTCATAAGTAATATTAGCGTGAAAGCTTTTATGATGAGTGATTTTGTTCGAAGGTATTGATATAGCCTTTTCCCTCAAAGGTGAATTTGTGTCTTGAGCGATGAGCGAATGGTGTAGGCAACAGGCGTGTCTATTAAAATTTTTAACAAAAGGACACGGTATGTGGCATGGTGTTGTCTTTTGATGAGAAAACTTCCTTGTAGTTGGATTATTGCAAGCTACATAGATACCAAAGTGAAATCTGTATCGTTTGTAAAAGAAGTTAAAAAAAGTTTTGGTGATATTATTACTGCACGTGATTTTTCTTTCATGTGATGCTATCAGGTTGATTCTATCCAATAACTTGAGTCGTATCATGTTAAAAAATTTGTTCTGAATACGCTGAGAAATAACTCATTGATGTAAAAAAAAGTGCGTGAGGCATTTTGATATTTGAAATCGATGATTAGGTAATTTACTTGTGGAATGATACCGAATTAGGATTGATGGCATATGATGATCGTTTGTGTATATTTTAAGATAAATTTCATTGGTGTCAGGTATTTGATCAACAACCTCAAAAAAGAAACTTTTGGAACGCCTAAATTTGTAGATCTTGTTATAATCTGCTTTAGATGCAGCGGTCATGTGAAACTTTTTGAAGGAGACCAAGAAAGAAAAGGTTGAAAGTATTGGTGGAGGTAAAGGAGCTTTGACTATGGTAGTTGGAAGTTACGTTATCCTGTGGTTTAATATTTGTCCCTAAAACATTATCTTTAGCAAGTCCGCCTTCAGGAATATTTCTTCTGCTATCGGAGTGTCTGTCCAACTGCGGATAAAGCTTCAGAGGTTCATATGAGGCCAAGGAAAAGTTGGTTTTCTTGTTGTTTGAAGATGACATAGTCCCTTAGTATTGGGATAAAATAAGAACTAAAACCTCGCCCTATAAAAAATATGTATATGGAAAGGATACATTTTGTATACATTTTATGTACGTTTCTATAAATTCTGTATACAAATTCCGTATATTTAATAAGTAATTCATTTTTAAAAAACTAATGTATAAGAAATGTATACGGAAAAAATTAATCATACGGAATGTATACGGAATTTTTAAACTTAATATTTTTAGAAGATAATTTTACAAAAATTCCGTATCATAACACGAGATTACATGATTGTTTATTGTTTTGTTATGATACGTTTTTTGTTTTTTATATAAACCCTTACTTTATCTTCCGATCTTCCTTTCTGTCTTTCCTTTCCTTTCTCTTTCTCTTGTCTTATTTTTGTTATTTTTTCTAAATTTTTCTTCTTTCTTCATCACCCCCTTTAAAAATAATTTTTTTTTTCGTTCACTCCCTTAAAAAAAAATTTTTTCTTTTATTTTCACTCTTCTTTTTTTTTAAAAAAAATTTCTTCTTTCTATTTCTATTTCCTCTTTATAAAAAAATTTTTATTTTTCTAACTTTGACGTCCTCCCTTTAAAAAAAAAATTTTTTTAACTCTCCTAACTCTGTCTCTTATACACATCTAGATGTGTATAAGAGACAGCTATAATACAAATAGTAAATTCAGTGACCAAATCGTATAAATTTCGTGATAAAATCAGATCAAATCATGTAAATTCCATATAAATCCCGTGCAAATTCCGTATCCAAACCATATTTTTGGTAATACGGAATTGTGCATTTTTCCGTATCCTATTATGATACGTTATTTCTAAGGAAAAAAAATCGTATAAAAACTTTATAAAAAACGTATCCAATTTTTTTATAGGGTCGTATAACTGTCTCTTATACACATCTAGATGTGTATAAGAGACAGCAATAATTCTTTTCTTTTATGTAGGTCAGACATTCTGGAGTTCTCTTTCTTTTTTGTAGGAATGCTGACCTTTGGTGACTTGGATGATTGCAGATGGGGGTTTTGTTTCCAATCTTTTTTTTTGTTCTTTTAGGTTGTTTGACTCCAAATGAACCTGAACTTATAGATAATTTAGGTTGCAATAGGTGGTTTTAATAAAGAGGGAATTTTCATAATGTATTTGTACTTTATTAAATTAAATAAAAAATAAAAAATAAACAAAGTGAAATTAGATTTATGTAAATACAATTATAGTAAACTGTAATACAAATAGTAAATTCAGTGACCAAATCGTATAAATTTCGTGATAAAATCAGATCAAATCATGTAAATTCCATATAAATCCCGTGCAAATTCCGTATCCAAACCATATTTTTGGTAATACGGAATTGTGCATTTTTCCGTATCCTATTATGATACGTTATTTCTAAGGAAAAAAAATCGTATAAAAACTTTATAAAAAACGTATCCAATTTTTTTATAGGGTCGTATAATGATCGAGGCGCCTAACAAGGCCTCGTTCCCCTTAGGGTTTTCGTAGAAAACTATATAAAAATAACCAAGTGCAAATTACTGCAGAAAACTAACAAAATAAAAAAGGGGGAAAGAGTTTTTTTTTTGTGTTTGAACCCAGTTTTTCTTTTAAACTATTTCTATTTGTACACACCCGTGTGTAAACACTGATCACGTGATTATTGTCATTTTTCGGTTAACAAATTTCCATGTTTGGAAATTTGTGTAACTTATTTTCATTTTTGCTGAGAAGCAAAATTGCCTTTTTGGATTGTGTAACGTTACTCTGATTCCCAAAATGGAAATTATAGTAATTTTTGGCTGGAATTATAAAATTTGGCCGAAATTATGGTGCGTGACATATAATATATGACAAATAAGGTTTTTTTACCGAAAAAAATTTTAAGTCCCTAGAATAAATAGTAAAAATGGAAACTATAGGGATGTGACATGGTGACAAATTAATGTGTTTCGCATACTAGTGTACATTAAGAAATTATCTTTCTTTTAATAACTAATTTAAATAACAATGTAAAATTAAAAAATCAAAATATAAATGTTTTTTATTCATACCATAGTAAAATAAATTAATAAGTAAAAAAAAAGGTCATGATGTATAAGAATGATTATAAAATTAGGTACTAATCTAACGTTTTTAAAGCATTATCATCATGTTTACAATCTTAAAATAATAATGATATTTTTAACGAATTTTTTATGAATTATTTATTTTATATTTTTTTGAAGTATTTCTAATCTACCTTTTGCTTCTTTATTTCCTTGTTTGGCAGATTTTTCATACCAATGAATTGCTTTGTCTATATCTATTATTGTAATTCCCTCTCCAAGTTCATATATAGTACCAAGATTATATTGTGCTACCATTTCTCCTAGATTTGCAGCATTTTGATATAATTCAAATGCTCTTTGCTTATCAATTTTAGTTCCAATACCATAATTATAACAATATCCTAACAGAGTTATTCCACCTAAATCTCCTCCTTCAGCTGATTTCTTAGACAATTCAAAAGCTTTATTATAATCTTTTTCAACACTACTTTCAGCTATATAACAATAACTAAGATTACGCATAGCTATTATATTTCCATTATCTGCAGCTTTTTCATACCAATAAATAGCCTTTTTAAGTCTTTGCTAATACCTATTCCATATTCATAACAATAATAACCAATACCTAATTGTCCACGTGCAAAATTTTTATTAGCCACTTTTTCAAAGTATTCAAAAACTAATTTTTCGTTTTTTGTAGTTCCAGTTCCATATAGATAACAATGGCCAACAAAATATTGTGCTAATATATGATTTTGATTTGATGCATTAATAAATAAATTGAAAGATTTTTTATGATCTTCACTTGTTGCAATTCCATAACGATTAAAATATCCAAATAAAAAAATTGAATTTGGACTATTTTGATTATTTGATAACCAATTATAAATTTCTTCTGAATTAGTATTATAATTACTATTAAGATATTCGATAAATTGCCTTTTTATTAATTTCCAAGCAGTTCCTTTGTTTGATAATTTGTAAATAAAATCACTTATTTCATCAATTAATCTGTTAAAATCTTTTTCAGTTGTAAGATTCTTTTGTTTACTTAAAACTACCATAGAATCAATTTCTTTTGTATTCATTTTATTAAAATCTTGAATAAGTTGAGATAAATCTCCTTGTGATTCTGAATTATTAGTATTTGAAGCATCATTGATTTCTTGTTCACCTGACAATTGAAAATTTTCTGTAATTGCATCTGTTTTTGTAATCATTTCTTTTAAACAATCAACTACTTGATATATATTCGGACGATTATCTGGTTCACCATCCCAGCACTCTAAATAATAAATGTAATTTAAGATTAGGAAAAATAACATTTAAGTAATTACATTTAAAATTTACTTACTAGTATAAATTTTTACATAATTTTCGGGTGTATCAGGAACAATTGTTTCTCTAAGACCTTGTAAAATCTCTAAAGCTAAACCGACATCATATCCTTCACCTTCAACATAAAAAGGAGGTAGACCATTGGATATTTCCCATAACAGTACGCCAACACTGTAAACATCGCTTTTTTCATTTAATGAGTAAATTTGGGATGTTTGATTATTATTATTTCTTCGTCTATTAAAAATTTTTGGATCAACATAAGGTACCATTCCAAATATTTTGGATTGAATATTTGATGACGCTCCAATTCTTTTTGATAATCCAAAATCCGCCAATTTGATCGTATTTTGATGAACTAATATATTACCAGAATGCTATTAAAAAGTTATATATTAACTTAGTAATGCAAATATAATATTATAGACAATGATTGAAGAAGATAAATAAATTACCAGGTCACGATGGACAATCCCTTCATTATGTAAACATGACACAGCGCAAGCTAACTGGTATGCCATAATGTATTTTTCATCCCATGTAAGTTTACTAAAGTTTTTTTCCAGATAGCTTCGAAGACTACCATTATTAGCATATTCCATTACTAACATATAATTATTACTAACATGATATTCTAAAGAACAAAAGAAAATAACAATTAAAATTCATTTTTTATGAATAAAATACGTATATTATATTAATTAAAGTATTATAGTACCTGTTGACTCAAATTTTGTTATTCCATGGCAACGAATAATATTATCATGATAATCAACTTCACGTTGATTTTTTAACTAAATAAATTCAAATTTTAATAAATAAATTTTAATGAATAAATGTTATAATGCTAAAAAGAAAAAGACGATTTCTATTTGTACACGGGGTGTGACATTTCACCGAAAGTCATTTCGCCGAAAAATAATCTCTGGCCTGAGATATTTATAATTCTGCATAATGTTGGCCCTATTTTTCGGCGAAATGTATCGTAACCGTTCAAACAAAGAACAGGAAAAAAAAAAGAATTTGTTAAACAAATCAAAATCGACATACAAAATCAACTTCCACGCTTTAAGTAAACTTGCGGAACAGACAAAAATACACAAACCGCATGTTCTTTTTAAAATTCTATTTATTAAAAATTTTTTTTACATAACTTTTTAATGAAGTCACGTGTTACGTGTATGAACACCCAGTGTAAATTAAGAAATTTTCAAAATTTTTTATTCAATTACCTCACGAATAATTTCTTTTACGGCGATATTGTCAAGACTAAAAAAAGACTTTACTGCAAAACATTTCTCTAAATTTTTCCAATTTGCACGGTACACTTTTCCAAAACCACCGGTACCAATTTCTTGAAAGTTATTAAATTCCTTGTATTCATAATATTTTATATGTTCTTCGTCAATAGCTTCTTCAATCCACTTAATCCATTCATTTTTATTCTTGGTATCTTGCATTTTGATATTATCAGAAATTGAATAGTAATAATTTAGCATAAAAGTATTAAAACCGAAAAGTTAAAGTTGTAAAAAAAACTATTTTTAGTATTTTTTATGCAATTAATTTCCGATAGTCGTACAGTGTCACAAAAAAGATTTACCCAGTATCACCTAGGGGATAGATAGATGTCATTGGTGAAGAATGCACAATACAAATGTTGATCAAAACAATACTAACCATACTAACCAACGGCAGTGAAAAAATTTACGCAAATACATCGTAATGTAAAATAAACGGGGACAACCCAGGGTTACACATAGGGATGGGGTTAATGGCTATACTAATTTTCGCCCCAGGTTCCCATTGGATCCAATGTGGAGTTGGCTCGGATTCCATGTAATGACGACAGAAGACATGGATCCGGATGATTTACAATTGATTACAAATCAAAAAATTCCAGATGTTGATCAATCGGATCCGGTTCACAAGCCAGAATCAATGGAACTAGGGGCGAAAATTAGTATAATTAACCATGGTTAATTAACTGCGGTTAATTAATGGTTAATTTGGTTAATTATGTTTAACTAAAATTGGTTAATTAACGGTTAATTTGGTTAATTATAAATTAACCAATCAAAAAAGAAATTTATATCATGTGATTATAGTTAATTTGGCTTAAACTAACAAAATTAATACATTTGACCAGAATTACAACAAATTATAATTAGTTACACATATTGATGATCACAAGACAAAACTAAAATTGGTTACACAAAAATCCATATTAAATTTCGCAAAACTTTAGTTTTTTTATTTTTCTCAGCACAGCATACATAGTAGAAGAGTAGCGGATGTTAAAAGTTAAGGTTTTGTGTGCTAGCTCTATATAAGCGAATTTTTTTATCCAAATAGACCACTGGTTACTTTGTTCTTAGTTTTTATATGTTTTTACCACTTGATTAGAAATTACACTTTTTTTTACAAGGTCTCAATAAGAAAATTATAAATATATTTTTATCTAAAACATTTAATAAAATTTTATGTAATTTTGAGGTACTTTAAGTAGGTGATGCTAAATAACTTAAGAACTAGAAATGCGAAGGCGATAAAATTCACATCATGTACTGTATAACTTCGCAATGTGCCTGATGTGCCGTCGTGTGATTGTATCACATCATAATTATCACTTTTTTATTAAAATAAGATCAGACATCTATAGTAACATTGCTGAAACCTGTGATTTTATGACATCGCTTTCACTATAGTATCACGTTATTATTTTAGTAACGTAACAATGCATTGTATGTTAATACGAAATTGCAATACATCTACAATACTGTAATTGCGTTGTTTGATACATTGTGACTGTATCATAAATATGGCTTTTTTTATATTAAAATTTTTTAAGTATTATTTTTTTCATTTTCATAATATTGATGTTGAAAATGCGACTACAATGCTTATAATTGCATAGTAACGATGATGATACTATATTATACTGAAATAATTAAATTGTTTTTATGCGCAGATATTTATACTTAAGTATCAGCTAATGTAAGAAAAAAATTTAATAATAATTGCTTAGAATATTTCTGAATGCCATTCATTTTTTTTATTATTTTATATTCCCTAATTATGTTAAGCAAAGGAAAAAAAAATCAAATTTCGGGGAAAGCCCCTTATTTATATGAAATTATGTATCACGTGATTAACGTGACAATTTTAACAGATCAGCCACGTTTTTTTTAAACTTTAACAAACTTTTTTCCTTTTTCACAGTCTCACCCTTTCCCTTCCTCTCTTTTTCTCTTCCTCTTGTTTCACTCTCTCTAATAAAAATCTTAGCGGAACATTTAGCAACATTTTGATATTTTTCTTTATTAGACAAAAATCATTGCATTATGCAATGAAAATTAAGAGTTCGTAACGATTTTTTTTTTAAAAAAAAAAAAAGTATATTATAACTTAAATGACAAAATAACTTCGGTAAAAAAATGGATTGAAAAAAAGCTAGAGAATGAGTATATTCGTTATTTTAAATATGATGAATTTATAATCGATGAAGAAGAAATTGGTAAAGGAAGGGATATCAGAATTCCAGTAAGATTTTTTTCTTTTTTTTTCATCTTTATTTTTTCTTTTTTTTTCTTTCTTTAGATGGTTCTTTCAAGTTATTTTGGGAGACATTTTGGTAAAGTTTCTTATTTATTTCTTCCATCTTTTAACAAATGGTTCTTAACAATTCATTTCTTTCTCTTTTTAGGCGGTTCTTTTGTATTTCTTGTGGTAAGTTAAATTTTTTTTTCTTTCATTTTTTTTTTTTTTGACAAAACGTTGACTGTTGGTTAACTAAAATTTTATTTTCTTGTTTCTTTCTTTTTTTAGACGATCAGGCCTTTGGACGCATGAAATTTCCAATGGTTGATTTCTTTTTACTTTATTAAATTCTTCTGAATTAAATTTTTTTATTTTGATAAGATGTTAACTATTGTTTCATTTTCTTTCTGTTTTTAGACAGGTCAGGCCTTTGGATGTGTGAAATTTTCAAAGGTTAGATTTTTTCCTTTTTAAGTTCTTTCGAATTAAATTTTTTCATTTTTATTTAACGAAACGTTTAACTAACGTTTCATCTTCTTTTTTCTTTTTTTAAACAGTCATGTTCTTTTCTTTTTTTAGGTTTTATGTTTCAATACTTCTCTTTCAGATGTCCAGACCTTTTGAAGTATTACTATTGGCATATAATGAATCAAAATGAAAATTTGACTTTGATACTGGATACAGAAGAGCGAATACAAGAATTTAAAGTGCTCCCTCATCACGAAAAGTTATTTTACTTGTTTTACTTATAAGTTTCGAATAGCAGAATAGGTATTGGAATCTTGAAATGGTAAGTTTCGTAATGGAATTTACCTTTTTCTTAGTATTGGAAACATCCTTATTTTTTACTTTTTTTTTGTAGTTATAGAAAGGCTTTGATTGGGTACCTGGAGATTGGAGACGGTAAATTTCTACGCGAAACTTACTTTTTTTTGTTTTCTTTAATTAGAAACATTTAATGTTTCTTTATTTTTTTCTTAGATCTCGGCGGACAGATTGTTTTTTGGAGTTCATGGGATTATTTCGTTTTAAGGAAAAGTTTCATTTTTTTGGATTTTTTCAAATTACTATAGCAAAACATGTTTATCAAATAATTTTATTTTCAGATACTTTTATACATTTTATATAAAGAATTATATTATCAATACTTAATAATGAATAATTTAATAGTTAGCTAGCGTAATATGTAATATATAACATTGTTTACTTTATTAAATATATATGCAAATAAAGTGTGTTTACAACGTTGTAAAAAATAAATTACTACGTTTTGACTATATGTTTACAGTAGTAAAATAGGTGCAGTGAAATCGTTTTTATGGTAAATTAAAAAAGCGTAGTGCCGATACATTTTCTCACTTTTGCAACGTGTTGTATGACGTTCAATAATGACGGATGAATCACGTGATTTTGGCGCAGTGTCAACGTTGTTTAAAAATATGAAGTTTCTGCAGAAACCTCTGGTTTTCACAAAATATGTTATACATAATCACTACATGTTACTAACAGATGGTATATATATGTTCTACATATTTTAATATACGTAATATGTTTGTAATATTAATAAAATAATGTTATAATATTTTTAATATATGTTGAAATTTAAACTTAAACTAATATAAATGTAGTAAATATTTTTGTAATATGAATAAAATAAATTTACAATATTTTCGAATATGTACTTAAATTAATGATATAGTGAATAATTTGAATACATTGTTAATATATTTCAAAGTTATTTCAAATATGCTGTTGATATATTAATAACATATTTTGAATATTGTTGTTAATATATGAATAATATATTTTGAATATGTTGTTGATATATACTGAAACTGTGACTTTAACGCTTCTAGTATGTGACTATCATGTGACTAACAGGTCAATCAAGGTATTCTTTTCGTCTCGATTGTCCAGTTCAGTGCATCACAACTTTATATTGACTATATGAAAAATTTTTTTAAATTTTAAATAATACAACTATTTTTTTAAAAAAAAATTTAAATTATAGATTTTATCCTTTTTATCCTTTCACTTCAACTTGACAATATAGAAGCAATAATAAAGTTAATACAATATTAATCCATTAATGAAAATACTATCTGAAAATACGTAAAAATTTTGATTGGCTTTGCCATTTATAATAACATTAATGCATTATTATAAAATAACAAGTCAATCAGTCATTATTTAGATGTTAATTTATTGATATAGCAATAATGTATAATAACGTAAATAAATTGTGTAATTAAACATAGGATATATTGGAGTTTACTTAAGAATCATAAACTTCGTAGCCACGCTCAATTAAGGCAATGTATTACTAGACCTACACCAAAGATAACTTTAGCAAGGCTTTCTTTGTGAATTAAAAGAAATTTCATACACTTTGCCAGCTGGTGGGATAGCTTATGACCTTTAACCTCAAGTCTGTTTATACTAATAAACCCAGAATGCTTGCATCACTAATAAAAAGTATAGTTAAGATGCTTCAAAAAATCCCTAAAAAGAAAAAATAAAAAAAATGAACAATTAGTAAACATTCATCAAATTTAAAATAAAAAAAAAATACTTTCATTATTGTTTATAATCACATAATATCAATTGAGATTAATTTGCATGACTCCAACTTGTACAGACAATCCCGGAAAAGTTACAGCCAAGTATAAGGGATATGATTAATATACCAATTACCATCAAAATTTTACACATCTAGATCCATTTAAAGAGCAAATATTCATCGGAAATCCAAAATTTTAAGCTTCTTACTCTAGTGGTATGTGAAAAACACAGAAATATAAAAATATTTGTGTTTCAACAAGCATAAAAGATTAAATAGTAGAAGTATTAGCAAGAGGAATATTGAGAATAGCCTACAGATAATATAGAAGAAATTTGGAAAGGATACCTCTGACCTTTGACGTTGGCTGCGAGAGGTACAACAAAAATTTTTACATGAAAATAACACAACGTCTAAGAATTCAAGTAATTGTACTAACTAAAAAAGTAAATAATCCAGAAGATGAAGAATTGGTGATTTAATATATTATGATAACCGTTAAGGATGTTAAAAAAAATAAATATAAAAATAAAAAAAAATTTAAACATCAAAGAGTAAGAACCTATATAAAAAGAAACCCTTAAAAGTAGAAATAGTGAAGAGAGAAGTCAGACTTAAAGGAAAAGAGGGGATTGCAATTATTCACACAGAGCTATATGGAAACAATTTTTTTTTAAAAAAAAAGAGATGATGAATTTGCACGTTAATTTTCCCTATTTACATGCAAAATACCAAGAAATTAAGTGAAGAATTTAGGGTATTATCAGATGCAGGCTTTAGTTTTGTATAATAAGGTTCCAGTATACTTAGTAGCAAAGAAAGTTTCACAAGAAGAACTTGAACTTTATTAAAAAATAATACTTAGGAAAAGATATCGGAGGTGGAAAAGGTAAGTATAAAAGAGGGTAAAAAGCATTTTATTGTTGAAGAGAAGGAGAAAAAGAAAAGCAATTACAGGGAAAGGGGAAGAACAAGAAGATGCATTAAATAGTAACGTATGCATAGTCATAGATAGCCCAGTTTCTTTTAGATAAATAAAATTAGTTTATATAAGGACTAAATGTTATTTAATTGCTGTAATAATTATATAAACTACACAATGGTTTCTACATTATAAAAAAGAAATGAAAAAAATTTTTATAAGAAACTTTTTTATCGGAAAAATGAGACTATATTAAATTATCACGTGTATCACGTGATTTAATACTTTTTTAAACAAAAGTCTAAAGTATAAAAAAAAAGTTTAAAAAAAATTTAAACTCTCATTTTCACCTTTCCTTCTCTTTCGTAATTCCCCCTCCTTCATTTTTCCTTATCTCTCTCTCTCGTACTTTCTCTTTCCTTCGCTTTTTTTTTAGACAAATGTAAATTTCCGTATTTTTTGAAAGTTCTTGGACAAGGATTTGGTAAAGAGGAATGTTTTTAGCCTGCCTCTTGAAACAATTATTAATATTTCATTTCATTTCTTCTCTAGGCAGCTTTTTGGTTCTCTGAACGTGGAAGTTTGGTAAGTGTATTATTTTTTTAAAAAAATTTATATTTCGTCTTTTAAAAAATGATTACTAATTTCTTTTTTCTTTTTTTCTTTTATTTTAAATGGCTTGGACACATAGGATTTCAGTGAGAAATCAGCCTCGGGTTTTCTAATTTTAGAGAAGTCTGGATATGCAGCAGCACAGAACAGGTAAGTTCCAAAGAAGCACGCCTTCACTAACCAGATACGTGTTGGTATCTAACACTTTGAATAGAGCAGGAATGTACCAGATCCTTCTGCGACTTGAAAGTTTTATTGATGTCGAGTTGACTGCTTGTAGGTATTTATTTTCACTTCGGACATCACACTAACGGAAATTTGAAACTTTAAAAAAGTTTTCTTTTTTTCCATTTTTGAAGGGAAATCAGCTCCGGCTTGGAAACTAGAATCCTAATTAGTAGTAAGTTTTGAAAAAAAGGAACTTAAAATTTCATACAAAAGACTTTTTTACCATTTTCTTTTTTTTTTTAGGGGAATTAGCTCCGATGTGACTTCCCAAGTGAGTTTTTGAAAAGGAATTTGAAACTATAAAAAAAAGTTTTTATAGCTTTTTTTTCCTTTTTGTAAGGAAATTGGATCCAACTTAGAAAAACAGAATCCCAGATACTTGAGTTTCGAAAAAAGATGTTATAAAGTAAAAAGTTTTTTTAACGGGTTTCCCCTTTTTGTATGGAAACTAACTTCGTTGTGGGCATTGGATTCTCAAGTGAGTTCCGAAAAAAAAAGTTTCAAAACTTTATTATAATACAGCTTTTTATTAATATTTTTCAATTTTCTTTTGTAAGACTTTTTATTTCGGAACTCTTGTGAAAAGTCGTCAATTACAGTAACTTCATCTTTCACTTTGTAGGTCTCCTCTGATTCATTATCAGAATTCACGAATTCCCTGAATCAATCATATGCACAAATTTAATTTAACGAAAAAGACAAGAAAAATCAAAATATCTTTATAGTACAATCGTTGCATTATTTTATATTATTGACACATGATTATTTTACTATTTTGTTACTATTACTTTGTTTTTAATATATTTTCATATGTATAATCGTTATAAAATTAAATATATATTATATTATTGCCCTATGAAAAAAGTCTGTGTGATTTTTGTTGAAAAATCATTCAATTAAATTCACTACAATTTCTGTATATTTGACCATACAATAATTGTGCTAAAAATTGCAATAAATCACACAATTATTGCATGGTAATTAATTCAATAATTATCCTATTTTTGACCTGAATTTATACAATTATTGTGTGATTTTTGAGCCAAATTTTAGGCCATATTTTAGGAATTATAGGTTAAATTTTACAGTAATAACAGGCAATTTATAAAGTGAAATTATGAATTTTTTTTATTGACTTAAAATATAAAAAATATACACAATATTTCATAAATAAAATACTAAATTTGATATAATCATAAATATAAAAATTTGTAAGAAAATAAAATAAATAAAGTATGTTAGTAACATGAAAGTAAATTAGTATTATCAAAGAAGAAAGTAAATTATTAGTGTAAGTAAATTATTAGTATTAAATAAAAAAGTATGAAGTTAGTGAAGAAAGCAAATTAGTAGTGTTAAAAAGTACTAAATTATTAGTGTTAGTAATAAAAAAGTATGAAGTTAGTGAAGAAAGCAAATTAGTAGTGTTAAAAAGTAAATTATTAGTATTAGTAATAAAAAAAAGTATGAAGTTAGTGAAGAAAGCAAGTTAGTAACATTAAAATGTAAAAAGTTAGGAAAATAAAAAGATAAAGAACACAAGTTTTTCTTACCTGATATTTTAAAAGAAAGTTGAAGAAAAGTTAAAAGGTTAAAAAAACATAAACAAAAACATTTCGCGTCGTCATATTTATTTTGACGATCAGATCACGTGATCAACATATATAATTTTAAGAGTTGATTTTTACCGCATAATTCTGGCCAAATTATAATTCCGGTCAGAACTAATTGTGTAACCTAATAAAAAGTTTTTGACTTTTTTTTAGTTACAAGATGATACAAAAATTTCACCAATAGGTCCAGAAGATGCCCATTTATAAGCAAATATGCAGTTGAATTTTATGTAACCTTACTGCATAAATCACTTTACTTAGGAAAATCTATTTGTAATGGTTAAAAGTGGTCTATTCGACCCTAAAAGTGGTCAAATGTAACCATACAGGTAAGATGGAAAGTAGTATAGTAGGATTACCCAAAAATTGCTTTCTGTATCCTAAATTTAAGTCTATTTTCAAGTTGTACAATAATCACAATTTTTATTGTACAAAAATTGAATGTTTTCTGTATCCTAAATTTAAGTTGTATAAAAATCACACAAAAATTGAACATTTTCTATATCCTAAATTTAAGTTGTACAAAAATTGCATACTTTTAATATGCTTTGAAAAACTTCATAACTATTTTTATCCAAAAATCTGCAATAATTGTACAATTTCCACACAGACTTGAACAAATATTGTACAAAAATTGGATGATTTTTTTTCATAGGGTTGATACATATTTGACATATGATGACCATATAAAATTGGCATTTCGAAATAATGTTTTTATCATATCTTTGATACATATTCGACATATAATAGCCACATTTTAAAAAATATTTTTACCATATATATAACATATAGTTATTATATAAAAATTAGATTTCTATATTATATCATTTATATGTTCGGTATATTGTCAACATATAGTTAAAACAGAGTTAACATAAATATGAATATCATAGGTTTGGTATATTTTAAAAATATCTCTAACATATTTTTTATATTGATAGAGTTTCTGCAAAGTGGCTTAACCACATCTTCCTTCCCCACGTGGTTTGTGGCGTCTAAATTTTGATTGGCTTATGCACATGCAACATTTATCTTGAAAAAACATAGAAAAAATTCATAGACGAAAAAAAAGTAATATTTTTTTCTTAAAATATTATAATAAAAAAATTATTCTATTTCCTTTACAATAAGAACATTTAAATATAATATTTTTACACTTTATTAAATTTAATAAACAAATAAACCAACATTATTTTTAAATCTTTAGTAAAAATGCCAATTATTCTATGAGTATTTAAGCCAGCAAGATAAAAAATAACATCTAAATACAATTATGCTATAAAGTGGAAAAACAAACTGAACTGTGCGCGGCAAAGTAATTTCACACAAAAACATTCATACCTTTGGAAATACTTAAGCTATTACTATGATAAAAATTAATGTTTGAGTAATACCATATATACTGAATAACTTTATTTAAGCTTACCAAAATATTGAAATTACGCTATAAATTAAATTTATATAAGTGTTTCATACTTGTTAAATAACCCTACTTAGTTTCTTAAGACATGTTTCGTTTGACTATAATATTAAAATTAATGTTATAAAATCTATGCACTTACACAATAAAACGTATAACAATATCTCATATTTATGCTTTCATAAATATTTAATTTATATTGTTTTAACAGATTTTTAAAAGTTAGAAAAGAAAAGGAGAGAGAATTTTGTTGTAAAACGGTAAACAATAAACAAATTAATAGGGCTAATCGCGTCACAGGGGAAGCAAATTATACATTTTTTTAGCCACAGATCCGCAGTAACGATGCGTTACAAAGTGAAAAGTTAACCTGTTTGAAAATAGAACCATAATCCATACTTTATGAAGATGGAGAAATATACAAGCCCAGGTTAATTAAATTCGGTTAGATATGAAATTTGTTATCACATGAATTTATTAACATGAATATTTTAAAACCGGGCTATCTATACTTGCCACCCATATTAATGGGATTGGGAAATCCCATATCCCATCCCATATCCTATCATCCCATCCCATATCCCATAATCCCATTCCAAAATTCCAATCCCATATCCCATATCCCATATCCAATATCCCATATCCCCATATCCCATATCCCATATCCATATCCCATATCCTGTCTCTTATACACATCTAGATGTGTATAAGAGACAGCTCTATAGTAATATATAAGGGTTACGGTACATTTCACCGAGATCCATTTCACCGAAGGGATGTTTCAACGAGGGATGTTTCGCCGAAAGGACGTTTTCCCGAAAATGTATCTTATCGAATCCATTTCACTGAATCGTTCATTTCGCTGAATTCTATTTCACCGAATTCCATTACGTCAAATGGACATTTCGCCGAAAATGGTAGCGATTAACATTTATATTCATCGTGCAATTAAAATAAAAATTAAATTATTTTTAGAGATTTTTTTTTCCAGGATATTATCACTTCAACATTCAAGTAACTAACATTAATTGTTAAGCAATAAATAAATAACTTTATTTTCCTGAAAACATTATTCATGAAACAGTAAGTAAAAATATTAACGTATTTATAAACAACGATAAAAATCAGCCAGTAATTCAAAAATTTATCTAGAGAAGTTTTCTTTATGTATTTAGTATAAACAGTAAAATAACCAAATGGAATAAATAATTTTTGTGAAATGCCCATTTGGCGAAATGTCCATGCTTCGGAGAAATGGAATTCGGAGAAATGGGGTTTCGTTGAAATGGTTCGGTGAAACGTCCTTTCGGCGAAATATCCCTTCGGTGAAATGGCTTCGGCGAAATGGGTTTCGGCGATAAAAAGTCTGGATACCCATTCCATTTCTCCGAATGAACATTTCGCTAAAATGGTAGCGATCAATATTAAAGAACAAATTCTTTTTAAACTATTTTACGATAAAATACCTTTCTTTCAGATATTACATATCTGCCCATCTGCGGAATTAAGGATTTAGGTCACGTGACGTTTAATCAGCTGAGTGCGACTCTCTGCGACGTTCAGTTAAGATCAAACGATTCCCAAATAAAAAAAGATCAAATATATAATTCTTTCAAAATTTCTATTACAATATTTGCTTTTTCAACCTGAAAATAATAAACATATCCTAAAAAATGAAGGAAAAATACTATTAGTTACAATAAATATGGTTTATAATTTATAAAATTATAAACTAAATGACGAAGATTAAAATGAAAGATTTTTAATTTCTCATTTTGATCTCAGTGAATCCATTAATGCATGATACCAACTAAGAGAATTTTTTTTAAAAAATAAATCTATTGATAATAATGTTAATGAATGAATTACAAATCGAAAAACGACAATCAAGGTGCTTGATAGCGAGAATCCTAGTAAAAAGTTAGGAAAAAAGAAAGTCTTCTTGAATTATCAATTAACATGAATAAAAGTAGTAATTCAGTAAATTTTATAAAATTTAATAATATAAGATAAACAATTAATGACAGGTTATGTATGTAGAAAGTTGTAATATTTCTGACCAATTTAAGACCATCTACAAAATCAATATCATTTTTTTTATTATTAATATGTCAATATATTATTGTATACTAGACTAATTCAATATTCGAATCATGAATAATGATCTTTTATGCTATTTTTTACTGTTGACTTTATTATCCTTTTTTAAAAAAAAAATTACTGAGAGAAATAAGCGCGCAAAGATTTATGATAAATCAATATCTGATATTGGATTAAAATATTAAGTTTTTCATTATAATACAATAGCTCTACTCGTTTAAATGTTTAATCATAGATACTATCATTAAATATTGTGATTTCGTAACCCGTTGAACGTTAAGGTAGAAAGTCAGACTTAATGATAAATTATCATGAAAATAAGTGATATAAAATTTTAATTACTGTATATATTAAAATAAAGAATAGAATACTAAATAGTACTATCCGTACTATATTGTAAAAAAAATTATTTTAATACTTGAACTTATAGAAAACATGAGATGAATAATTTTTAAATATTTGGAAAAGAATTACCGCTCAATAACTATTTAACGTTAAGTATGAGGTTCTAATCTCTTACCCTAATAAGGGAAAAAAGTATCAAAAAACAAAGATCAATGAATATATATTTTCTAAAATTTAAATTATCGAATACTGGCAATTAAGTTATATATTTTATAAAACCATGTTATATTCACGGAAGGTTTATTTCGTTTTGGTGATTAATATTAAAAGATAACGAATAAACTAAGTCACTAGGATAGGGCGTTTTATTGAAATTTTTTCTAATTTCATATATTAAGAAATTAAAGTTTACAAACTTATATTAACGTAGTCATACGTACCTACCGACTACCGTTTATATATAAATATAAGAATTAATAAATAATTTTTTATTTACATTTTTAGAAACCGTTGCGGGTCATCCATTTATCACCATTATTTTTTTTGTTTATCGATGGCGCACGGACTTTGCCACGTGATCTAATATGTGATTAACTTTCCATAAACATATATAGTCCTTCGCTTCGCTCCGTACAATATTATTTACGATCTTGTAATTTTATAAAAAAATAATTATAAAAGAATAATTATATTGATGATTGATCTATAGTTCTCAATTTTAATGAATTTATTGTGTTATTATTCTTTCTAAAGTATTTCTAACTTATTTTGCGTTTCTTTCTTTGGCGCATTTTTCGTACTAACAAATAACTTTATTTATATGTATCTTTTGTAATTCCATCTTCATGTTCATACATTAAAGCAAGATTATATTTTGCCAATTTATTTCCTAAATTTGCTGATTTTTCATATAATTCAATTGCTTTTTGTCTATTAATATTAGTTCCAATACCATTATTATAACAAAATCCTAACATTATTATTCCATTTGAATACTCTCCTTCAGCTGATTTCTTAAACAATTCAAATGCTTTTATTATGATCTTTTTCGATACCCTTTCCATTTAAATAACATCTACCTAAATTATATATAGCCATTATATTTCCTTTATTTGGAGCTTTTTCATACCAACAAAAAGCATTTTTGTAATCTTTTTTAATAGCTATTCCATTTTCATAACAATAACCAATTTCTAATTGTCCCATTATATAATTTTCATTACTAGCTACTTTTTCATAATATTTAAAAGCTAATTTTTCATCTTTTATAATTCCATATCCATATCTATAACAATAACCAACAAAATATTCTGATAATATATAATTTTTTTTTAATGCATTAATAAACAAATTTTATGCTTTCTCACAATTTTTACTTATTACAATTCCATAAAAATTAAAAAATCCAAGAATAAAAATAGAATTTGAAGTAATTTGGTTATTTAATAACCAATTATAAATCTCTCGTGAATTTATATCATAATCATTAAAATATTTAATAACTTGTTGTTTCACTAATTTCAATTCAAGTCCTTTATTTAATATTTTAGAAATAAATTCATTAATTTTATCAATTTCTATGTTAAAATCCTTTTCAGTTGAAAGATTTTCTTGTTTACTTGGTACGGCTGCTATAGAATTAATTTCTTTAGTATTTATTTTATTAAAATTTGAATAAGTTGAGTTAATTCTCCTTGCAATTCTGAATTATTACTTATTAGTACTTGAAACATCATTAATTTCTTGTTCACCTGACAATTGAAGATTTTCTATAATTGTGACTGTCTTGTAATTATTGCTTTTAACCAATCAATTACTTGATATATAGTTGGACGATTATCTGGTTCACCATCCCAGCATTCTAAATAAAAATGTTAGTCTGAGATTAGTTCAAAAAAATATTTAATAACTAAATTTGAATTTTACCTACTGGTATAAATTTTTAAATAATTTTCAGGTGTATCAGGAACAACTGTTTCTCTAAGACCTTGTAAAATCTCTAAAGCTAAACCAACATCATATTCTTGACCTTCAACATAAAAAGGAGGTTGACCACTAGATATTTCCCACAATAATACGTCAATACTGTAAACAACACTTTTTTCATTTAATGAGTAAATTTGTGTTGTTTGGTTATTATTTCGTCTGTTAAAAATTTTTGGATCAACATAAGGAACCATTCCAAATAATTTAGATTGAACATTTGATGACGCCCCAATTCTTTTTGATAATCCCAAATCCGCCAATTTGATCGTGTTTTAATGAATTAATATATTCCCAGAATGCTATTATAAATTTATATATTAATTTAATAATGTAAACATAATATCATATAAATGATTGAAGATAACTAAATTACCAAATCACAATGGATAATTCTTTCATTATGTAAGCATGACACAGCGCAAGCTAACTGGTATGCCATATTATATTTGTCATCCCATGTAAGTTTACCAAAGTTTTTTTCCAAATAGCTTCGAAGGTTACCACTGTTAGCATATTCCATTACTAACATATAATTATTATTAATATGAGATTCTAAAGAACAAAAGAAAATCAATAAAACTCCCTTTTTATAAATCCAGAATAATATATTAACTAATAAGGTTTATATAATTGAAGTTTACCTATTAATTCAAATTTTGTTATTCCATGGCAACAAATAATATTATCATGATAATCTATTTTACGTTGAATTTTTAACTAAATAAATAAAATTCGAATTTTAATAAATATACTGTATACTGTAATGATGAAAAATGATTTTATTACTAATTACCTCATGAACAATTTTTTTCACGGTAACATTGTTAAGACTAAAAAAGGACTTTAATGCAAAATATTTCTCTAAATTTTTCCAATTTGTACGGTACACTTTTCCAAAACTTCCTGCACCAATTTCTTGAAAGTTACTAAATTCTTTATATTCATAATATTTTATATGTTCTTTATCAATAGCTTCTTCAATCCAATTAATCCATTCATTTTTATTCTCGGTATCTTGCTTATTGATATTATCAGACATATTAAATAATAATAATTTGACAGAAAAGTGTTAAAAAACGATTAATTCGAATAATCAAAGTTGTAAAAAAAAGCTTTTTTTTTTTTTTGAATAATCGTATTTTGCAGCATTTTATTTCTCCGAAAGTCGTACAGTTCCATTATTTCCATAAAGAGCTTTCAATTATTTGATATTCTCAGCCGCAATACCGGAATTTATATAAATTAGTATAGTACAAGAGGTTATTGTAAAAAATTAAAAACAAATTTTTTAATATAGAACGTGTGCACAATACTCGTTACACTTTCATGAGGTTGATAAAAACAAGATTATTCTTTCAACTTACTTTAATAAATTCATGTACTGTATGTATAACGAATGGAATAATCTGTCATGATTCTATAATGTTTACGACATAAATTTACGTTAAGATACTTAATTTTCGCCTAAATTAGTAAATACATTTAATAATTTGAATAAATTTATTAAAATTATTTAAATTACAAACTAAGAATTTTGTAAAACATTTACTACTCTAATCTTAGTGTTTAAATAATACAAGATAAATAAATAAATAAATAAATGATAATAATTTAAAATATAAAAAAAAAAAAAAATTGTTAAATGATTATTCAAATCCATCTAAAGTTAAAAAAATAACAAATTATAAATTAATTATTTGCTTTATAAAGAAATCTTATTTATTTAAGAACTTACCATCAGGAATTTCCAGTTTCGAATGAAGATTTGGATTATTATATACTTCGTCTTCATCTGTAAGAAATAAATAATTAAATTAAAAAATAATATAAAAATTAAATTAAAAATTCGCATAATTCGCATACCATCAATATCACCAATATTTTGTCTTTTCATTTTTTGTTGAATTATTTCTTTTTCATCATCTAAATTTTTAAATTAAAGTTACATTTAAATAAATATATTGACAAAATAATTTTTGCTTTTTTTGCTTACCATCAATATCAATATCTTTCCTTTTCATTTGTTGTTGAATTATTTCTTTTTCGCATATTATTTTTTAAAATAAAAGTCACGTTATTTAATAAATAAAACTGTTACAATGAATATTATTATTTCACTTATTTACTTACTATTTGAATTTTGCAAATTTATAAATTCTTTGGGTAATTTTTCACTATCACCTAAAATTAAGAACATAGAAATAGATTTTAATATTTAATCTATTATTTCAAACAAATCACCTTTAAAAATATTTATTAATTATACTTGATAATTTCTTACTATACTGCTCATTTGATAATTTATCAAAGTCGTTAACTAAAATAAAAATTAATCATTAGATATCATTACATGATAATTCAACGCTATAATGTTATTAAATACTTACTATTGTTAGGAATGTTAAAATCATACAATTTACTATGAAACACTATTAATAGTAAATAAAGTATTTAAAACTAAATAATTATAGTAACCAAAAATGGTAGAAATTATTGTTATACCTTCTTGTTCTTCTATTATAATAAAAAGATAACATTAATAATGTATTTTTAAAATAAATACATCCGTTAATAAAATATTATACACTTATACCTTCTGTTGCATTTCTTGGTTCAGGTAGATTTCCAAAGTTGTGAATTTTGCTTGTAAATAATCTGCTACTCGTATAATTTTCTTCCACTTTATTCACTTCTAAATTATTTATTTCTGATTTGAATAATTCATCTGACATACTTTGATAATCTAAATTAATTCTTTCCATTCTATCACAAAGTGCATAAGCGTCGAGTCTTTTTAATGGATCAGCATCCCAACATTCTTTCATTAAATTTTTATATTCTAACGGAGTTCCTGGCACAATTTTTGGTCTTATACCATCAATAATATTATATACAAGAATATGTTCATCTTCATAATCCATAAATGGTGGTTGTCCAAATGAAATTTCCCACATAAGCATTGCAATACTATAAATATCAGATGCAAAATTATATCCTCTTCCAACAATAATTTCGGGTGCTATGTAAGGAAGATTTCCATATATACTTGTTGAAGATTTATCAGCAGGTCCACAAAATCCAAGATCACTAATATACCAATAATCATTAAATTGTGAATATAATATATTTCCAGAATGCAAATCTCTATGAATTGCTTTCTCTTTATGAATACGATAAAGCGCAAGAGTTATTTCATTAATAATTTTCATTCTATCTTTCCATGTAAGTTGCTTATGATTTTGTTGTAAATATTTTCTTAAATCTATATCCATTTTCATCATTACGAGAAAATAATTTCCATTTGATGGATTTTGTGTTAAACCAAAACATTGAACAACTTCCGCCCATTTATTACTTATAGTTAAATGTGATTTAGCCTAAATGACAACATGCTATTGTTAATATAAAATACTTAAATTTTACGAATTAATTTATAAATACAATTATACAAACCTCTTCAAACCAACTTTGATTTGCACTTTCAACATTTTCTAATTTTTTTAATACTACTTCGCCATATCCAAATCTTTTTAATTGTTTTTTTTCAAAATCCCATTCTTCATAATCTCCATTAATCCAATCTGCTGTATAAATTTCTGAGAATCCACCTTTTGTTAAATATTTAATATTTTCTAAATTACTATATGGGATCCATTCAACTACCATATCTGGCGCAAATGATTCCATTTGACATTCCTGTATTAAATTATCAATATCATCATTCCCGGATGTCCAATTTGGAAAATTTTCTTGTAAATAATTTCGGACACAATATTCACAATATAATGTAGCTAAGCATTCTTGGTTACAATTTTCACAAATTCTTCTTGTACCATCATCATCTAAAATTTTATCACGATCATAATTGTCAGTTAAAACTCTTGTCGCTTCAGTTTTTTCATCATTTGTAAGAATTTTATCAGCAAGGACTGTTTGTTTTTGAAATTCAAATTGTTTGTGTATATCATCGTAAATATTAGTATCTGTTAATGTTGTTGCTCTATTATTTGTTGCATAAATTAACCCATATCGAAGAGTGGACATAATGTAATCAATAGAAAGAAAGAAATAATTATATTAAGTTCGTTACTCCGAGATAAATTAGTAAAATGCAAATTGTTGATCAAAACTTCATGTTGTGCCCACATAAATTTTGTAATCTTGAGGGCGTAGTATTTTACGCCTCTTAACCAAAAAAAGAAAAATATTACTACCATTTATTATTGTACTTTCTATACTTGGTATAAAATTAAAAATTTATTTCAGCGAATACAATTTGTGCTTAACAAATTTGATTGTCATACTTAATGAATAGATATTTAGTATCCTTGATTATTGATTAATATTCAAATAATTTGATAAACAAAATTATTTTAAATCTTATTTAAAAAATCAATATAAACAAGAATACATGATTGATGAAAAGTCAATTTAGTTATTGTCAATTGAATAAACAACGTGGCGAATAATAAACATGAAAGATTATAAGAAACCATTCAATTTATTATTTCTACTAAAATATCCAAGAGAAGAATTTCTGTAGAATTATAATTATTTTTTTTTTTTAGGATGTAATGATGGATCGCAAAATATATGTTTAAATAAAAATATATGGTTTAATAAAAAAAATTAAGTTTGAATGAAAGAAATTATTACGTAAAATAATAAATAAGGGCGCAAGTATGTCACAGGGTTTTAATATCATGGCACGGGTTTTCATGTTACACAATTCAAATTATTTATATGGAGACTATTCTAAACAGTAAACAAAATTTTTTAGTTATATAGAATTTTTGTTTCGTACATATGTTTTTTAATTTAATAGTACATTTATGAATGTAAGATTTAAATTTTTCATTACACACAATTCTACTTTCATATATCATGACATAAAGTGATATTTATTTATCACCATATCACATCCCCTTGTCTATTATTTAGGGTCATGTCAAAACTGTCACATCCACACATAACGAGCTAAAGTCACGTGTTCAAATTTTTTCGTTCGGTAGTTCAATGATGATGATTTCGTAATAATTTATGTCGAAAAAAAGGGAAAAGTTAATAATTTTGTTATTACGCACATTCTTGGAATTTTTTTTCAGGTACTTTAATATACTGACATTGCTAAAATTTATCAAAATTATCAACTGGCTTATCGATTAAAAAAAAAGAAAAAAAAAAGTTCAATTCATCTATTTCATATTATTACATTATTTAAAAAATTATCTTGCAGATTTGATTATTAATTTTCAATCTGCTTAATATATATGTACTGTACAGTATAGTGTTTTATTTATTACTTACAATAAACTGATTTATAAATTAAATAATATTGTTTAAAAATGAAAGACTTTTAATTTATATCCAGCGTGGTTCTTATAAAGAATCGCCATTGATAATTAGTTTAATAAATGAATTACTATTGAAACATGACAATCAGCTAACCAAAATATCAAATAATGAGCATCTCAGTAAAAGTAATATTTAAATACACTGGACTATTTTTTTAATATCCAAATCACGTAATATTGATCTATTTTTTATATTATCTGTATATACTGCTCTTTTACTGTTAATTTATTGCCTTTATTAATAAATGAACAAACATTTTATAATGAATTTTAATAATTTATTTTGAGTTTCTTTTTCAAAAATTTTTTTTTTAAAATACGAATTATTCGAACTAGGGTATGTAATACGAAGCACAATAAACCATCGTGGGTATTCGGATGAGATCTCGTCACACAATGACACAATACGGCAACATTTTACCCATTTTATTAAAATTTTCTCAAGGATCTTTTTAAATAAAAAACAATAAAAATTATTAAAATAGAAAAATAGAAAGTGAATATAAATATATTGAAATCATTCAAATACTTTTATAACTAACAATTCAATTTTTTTTATTAATGAATTCTACTAGATTAAAAAAAAGAATGTTTGTATAAGTTTAAAAGATTCATAAAAGTCCATTTAAATAGTATACATTTACTTTCTCCATTGTCCTTTCATCTTTCGAATATTTTTTTGATAATTCTCGATCCAGTTTGAGAATTACAAATTTTTTCGTTAATTCTGTAGATGGTCTATTATTTATTTATGATGTTATATGGTATATACAGTATATTCGAAAGCATCATCTAATTAGCAAGCGATTTTCATACTAAATTAATTCGTAATCAGGATAATATTTTATTTTACTTTCTTTACTATACATTCTTCTTTATTTTTCTTTGTTTTTTTATAGATTTTGAAATCAGTTTTTTACTTCGAATGGTATGGAATGAATTAAAATTAAATAGTTATCAAATAATTCATAGTTTATAAGGGAAAGAAATTTCAATAATTCGAGTTCCTTAATCTGGGAAAATTAAATTGGTAAACTTTTATAGTATGTGATCGAGCGCTCTTATAATAACAAAATGTATCAAAATCAACCTCTCATGTGAAAAAGGACTTTAGAAAGGTTATTTAGAAATTGGGATCCAAGATTTAAATAATTGATTTGCATTGGTGCTTGTGCATGTAGCTTCTGTATTATAGGTAACGGTAGGCAGCTGTCTTGTGGCGGTCCTATGATAGTTAGTTGATGAAGTTAGCCAATGTTTCTATGGTAATTGTATTTATACTACGTCTTGTATAGTTCGACTAATTCTTATTCATAAGATATAAAATAAAAAAATGATTGATTGGCATAAGTTCGTATTCATTTCTCGGAAATTTCTTCCCAAATTTTAATGCATCATTTTATAGAAATTGTAACAATAAAGGAGCTACTAGTTGAAGATTATAATTTACTTGATTGGGTGGAAATAGCTGGAAACGTACTACTATTTTGTATTCAATTTTGCAAAAGGAAATATGTTCTAAAGATACAGTATCTTATATTAATATTGAAGGAGTGGGATTATACTGTTTGTTGCCATAATGATAAAGGATAACAGATGAGTAATAAACTCTATGATAATGGAGTTAAAATTTTAAATTTCTGTTATAACATATATATATATACTTATTTTTAACGTATATTCCTTTTTCATAGATGTTGAAATCTTCGTTAGTGAAATTTATATAGAAATATAAGTGATCAAATCAAATAGCAAAGATTTTGACTTACGGTTGTGACAAAACTTTTTGGAATAATCATTATCAAAGTTAATAACAACCTTTGACATCGAATTTGTCGATAATAATGGATTATTATAGTTTAAGAGCATATATGTATTGTAGTTGTTGATTTTATTAATTCAGTTATATGAATAATATGATCATGATTTTTAATGAAGAAATTTTACTTGAAATTTAACGTAAGCTTTTATAATATCTATAATATCTTTAATTTCTCCAATTTCACATTCCTAAACTTTAATAATAGTAATACAAAAATGTATGATAAAAATAAATATAAATTTAATAATATTACTACATAAAAAAAATTAAATAATGGAAAAAAGAATTTCAATCGTGTGATATGTCTAAATGATATTGTTCATCTGATAAACAAACTTGTCATCAATAAAGCAAGATCCTCTTTTGCCAAACATGTCGGACACATGTCATAATCGCATTTATAACAACCTAAACGTCTTCCATAATAATACTTTCCACATTCATCACACATCCACATTCCTGATGTTTGTGTATAACGGAGAGGGTGACGACTTCGACAAGTACTCTCAGGCTTGCATTCTTCTCCAGACTTGCAATGGCTAGGGCAAGCGTCAAAATTGCAAAGTTCACAATGATATTGGGATACCTGTTCATACAATTTACAAAAAAAAAAAGGCAAGTCAATATTTCGAAAAATAAACGGGAATATGAAAAACAAAAAATATTAAAAAAAAACTACCGTAGAATTACTATCTTTTCCACACACATCACAATACCAATCCCCTCTGTGATATTTCTTTTTCAAATCATGTCCTTCAAAACATTGAGGTGGTGGCGGAAGTATTACACTATTCATAGAAGCAGATACATCGATCAAGAGAGCATAATCTATCGCCACTTGGCAGAGATTTCTGTGTCTTTGAACCTCGGCCCATGATGCGGAATAGTTACCAACAGAAAGATTTCCAACCGAGAGAGATAGAGAAGTGGTGATTTTGTGAGCGATAGTCAAGAATACAAGTTCAAGAAGGTAAAATTCTTTGACGGGAAAGTAGATAAAGTTGCCAATGCTAGCCATCTGATTTTGTTTTTAAAAATATTGAAAATGATGATGTTCAATAACGCTTTAAAAAAATTTAATAAATATCGAAACATGTTCTTGTTTCAAAGGAAATATAACACCGACGTGAGAAAAACTCTTAAATAAATTAAAATCTTGATCAAGAGAAAAAAAGCAAAGAATGACATACCTGTTCCATTTTCGTTGAATCTACACCGTCTCCAACTCCAACTACAAACAGGAAATTACTTGATTCCTTTGTAAATAGACGTGATATTTCTTCAGCGCATTTTCTTAAACTTCGACTGCTACGATTGTCATCACCATCAGTCACGACAACAAAAATCCAGGGACGAGACCGATCACCATTACGTTGGAAAGTTTTTATGACGTCAATCATACTATCGTAAAGGCGAGTGGCACCGCTAACGACGTTACTTAACCCGTTAAGTGAACGATAAAGTGATGCTTCATCTCTGGTGAAGGACTTGAATATAAATTGAAAGAACGTTGGCGTTAAAAGATAAATGAATGAATACAGTAAATAATTAGACATCAAAGAGGATCATTTTTACCTGTCTTATTACCATAGAGTCATTAAATGTTGCAATACATCCACGATCTAATCCATCACGGTGTAAATTCTTTACAAGTTCGTTGCTCGCCTTGATAGCACAGCTTATTTGCGTGTTTTGAGTGGTTGCTCTTACAAGTTCCATTTTTTTCGCAAGTGTTGTTATATTAGTACAAGAGATTTTAGAAAATGTTATGGTTTGAAATTTTGTAAAGCGATTATTTATTTATAAAAGCTTTTTGATTTATTAAACATATTACTACATATATACGTAACAAATAACTTTTAATCCATGTTGTTTCAAATATTACGCATTTGGAAATATTTTTAATGAAGGAATTAAATTGCATGGCGAGAATGGCTGTCGGTTGTATGCCTAAAATTTATTTTCGTCAGTTATCACGTCCTTGAAACCTTTTTAAGAAATATCCTTAAGCCAATTCTATTTCAAAAAATATTTACGGTTAATTAAAAATATGAAGTACGTGTAATAAATAAAATTTTGCACACGTCATATAAATAGCAGCAGAGGTAAAACAAATTTTCATTTTAATAAACGGGTGAAACAATTCTTTATTTTATTACTTGATTTGATTTTTGCCTAAAAACGTGTGTACAGTATCTATTTTTATACATATTTTTGTTTTGTAAAAATTTTGTGCAATAAACATAAAATGAAACAATGGAATTTTGAGCATGATCAGCCTTCCGAAATTTGTATTACTGTCGTATGTTGAAAAACCAATGATGAATAAACTTTATTGATATTTAACTTTAATGTTAATAATGATTGCAATTTAAACACCTTCCTAAAATACAAATTATTTGTTACTTTTATTACAGCCTCATTTGTGTTTTTTTACTTTTTAATGACCTGGGCTAAAATAAACTGCTGTAGAATTATATAACATTGTTGTACGAGGAGTTCCAAATGAAATTTATTTATAAATGATCAACGCCAAGAGGTTATGGTCGGAAAATTTATAGTTAACAATTTTCCACCACTTAAAAAAAAAAAAAAATCGCATGACCAATCTATTTTAGGATTAATTATATTCACTTTCCATTGACCCACTCCCGTACAACGGTCAGCTTTATTCTGGCATTTTTAAAAATTGCAGGATATTTATTAACTGTTAATCTATGCCAGATTTGGTTTTAAAAGAATTTTTTTTTCTTTGATTAATTAATTAATAATAATTACTAATTATTTCTATACTTAATTTATCTTGGATTAGATTTAATGAAATACTTTGGTGAAACGGTAATCACTAATTTACTTTCAGAATTTTTTTTTGATTTTTCCATTTAATTTCACTGATGTTTTTTCTCGACTTTTAAGGATCAGCTGTGAGACGCGGTACTATGGTAAGCGCCAACTTCAATTTTTTTTTCATTTTGAATAATATTTTTTTCTATTTGATTACAAAAATTTTTTCATCCTTTAGGATCGAGAACTTGCAGTTCAGATGCCACTCTTACTGTGCGAGCGCTGATTCTCTCCCATTCGAATTTTTTTTTCCGTTATTTTTATTTTTATTTTTTTTTTTTGCTAATATTGATATTTTTTTATTATTTCTTTTTTTTAAAAAAATTTCAAATGAAAATGTGCAACAAAGATGTTGTACTAGCCATATGGAACATATGGAAAAAAATATTTCCGAAAATCATTGCTGCGCCTTCATGATTAGTCGACAAAATTTATTTTTTCGTCTGGGAACTCATGGATCAGTAAACACGCTTAAAAAATAACCTGATAGCACTCTTTTTTCTAAAAAAATTTTCAACGAAAAGACGGATTATTCTTATATGATTAATGCTGAATAGGAGATTATAGAGAACTGTGGATTTGGAGAAGAGGTGTAACTGTGTAAGTCATGCGACAGGAAAGTAGAAATTTAGAAAAGATATCAGAATTTCCATTGATAAGAAGTTTATTTGCAAAAGAATCTAGAATAAAATTGTTATTTATTCAATTGAACTAGAAATTCCTATTTCTTTTTTGGATATAATAATGGTAAATGAAAATGAGCTTACCGCTGCGGTACTATGGTAAGTACAATTTCAATTTTTTTCGTTTAGAATAATACTTTTATTTCTATTTGATTTTTTTTACTAATTTTTTTCTTCATCTTTTAAGACTCACGGATTGGGACTTGGGATATGCGCTTACCACTATGGTACTACGGTAAGTACCAATTATCAATTTTTATTCTTACTAATTTTTTTTTTTTAAAAAAAAATTTCTTTGATCGGGAACACACGCTCTTGCTGCTGCGTTATTACGGTGAACGCCAATTCACCCATTTGAATTTTTTTTAAAATTTTTTTTTTATCCTTTCAATCGGGAACTCAAGGATCAGGAAATGCGCTTCAGTACTACAGCAGATTTTAATTTTCTTTTTTTCGTTTCAAAATATTTATTCAATTTTCACGTTACGAATTTTATATTTTTTTCATTATTTTTTTTTTACAATAAATGTATATATAACACTGAGTTAAACCTGAACATAATTAATTGAAGATTCCTCCATTTCAAAGGTATTTCTGCAAAGTAAAGCTGTATAGTTCAATTATTTTCGTGTATTTCACTTCTAAATTACAATTTTAAAAAAATTTTAAAGTTTTTTCGTTAAATATTTATTAACCAACTTATAATTTTCTTCTTTTAGTATCATTTGGTTTTCACTCTTTTTGATTTTTACGATTAATGAACATTTTACGTGATATTCAATACAAAATGGCCGCAAAAAAAATCTAAAAACATGTAAAATAAAATGATGCTTGCTCTTGGCCAGTTGTATGGTAAATTAACCTACAACTGTTTCTCCTGAACACCACGTAGAGGTGACAAGCTTCGTTCAGGGAAAAAAGAAACCACTTACCTGTAATTTTATACAACCAGTTTATAATTAATAGGATTAAAAAAAAAACAATAATATTTGGATTGTTAAGAATAAAAATTGAGCAGAGACGTTCGGACATATAGATATAAAATATAATAACATTCACAACTTGACAAATTCTATATGTAAACTGTGTTTTTTTAGTTATGTTCTGGCCCCAGGTACAACTACTTATGCGCAAGTGCATCAAAATAACAAGAAAGATAAGAAAGAAATTAACGTAAAATCAAAAAAAAAAAATTATGCACAAGGCATCAGAACAAGAAAGAAATTATTTTTGTAAAATCAAAAATAAGCTTTCTCATCCCCCCATCTAATTATTTGGTTTACATATATACACAATACGTACTATGTACATACATACATATAATACGTACGTATATATACGTAATGTGGGAAAGTCGACCGAGCAATAAACACAGGTTTCTCCACTCGAATTTCATTAAAAATTTGTTTAAGTATGGTTTTTAACTTTAACGGTTTTTTCAACTTTTTCAACGTGTAGTGGCCGGTTCTAAAACGTGATACGGAGTTGGTTGTACCTTACCTTTACCATACTTAACAAAAAAAACAATAAAGAAAAAGAAGAGCGAGAAGTAGTAAAAAAGGAAGAGGGGTTAAAGAGAGTAAAGAGACAAAGTGGCTATTTTATGTATTTTACTTAAATCGGATTAGTCATGATTGATTATAATGAGTAAGACATAAATCAATATTTTTACTATTTTTACGTCATTATATACAGTACATGACGTCATATTTTAATTTCAGTATTTACATACAATTAGTTTCATTAGATGTCAAAATTAACCACGACTTTGTTTAGAAAAGTATTATGTGAAATAATTTGACGTAAATTAAAATTTTATTTCGATTAATTTTAAAGAACCTTTACATACTAAGGATGGTATAGCGTTTCTTCATTTCTAATATTATTTGTAGTTAAATTGTTAATAAATTACTACGCCATATCTGATATCGCCTTGGTTATTTTACCTTACACGTGGCACAACATAGTATAACGTGTTGCGATATAAAAGTGTATTGTGTATTATCAAATATTTCCGTAACGGAAAAAGTAGTTAAAATAGTTACATTGGCACATGAAAGATTGAAAGATGAAAGATGTAAAAATATTAATTGTTAACGATGTATTATTAAAATTATTAAACATTAATAATAAAAATATTAATTTATGAAATAAAAGCATTAATTTTTTTGCAAAGTATTTTAAAAACTTTGCATATTAATAAAAAAATATTTAATTATTACTTGATTATCGCAATGTATTATTAAACATTAATAAAAACATTAATTTTTCAAAACATTTATTTTTGCATTTTTGTTAAAGTTTAAAAAAATATATTAATTTCGCAATAAAAACTTTAATTTTACGATATATTTTAAAAAGTTATTACATATTAATAAAAAGATTAATTATTACTACATCTAACAAATAAAATTAAAAAAAAATGTGCCAGGATAGTAAGTGTCAGGACTCAGGATAATGAATGTCGTCAGGATTTCGTAATAAATCCGACTAAATCGCTTAAAATTATTTAAATCTTCTCGCTTCCTATCTTTGATTTCACTAATTGATGATTTATAAATGAAAGAAAGTAAAATTTGGGAACATATATTAAAATGGGATCTTATAAATATTTATTGATAATTATTACGGCATATCATATAAAAATTCACGACTCAATTTATAGTTTACGTTCAAATTTATAAAAACTTTATTTTTTTTTCAAGTAATTTATTTGACTACTTTACTAGTAAAAACTAGAAATACAATGAAGTAAATACACACGTATACAATGCTTTTAACAACCACCACTCTTGCAAAACAAAGCCCTTTCAGCTTTACGGCAGTGTTGGCATTTGGCCGCGGCCAAGAATTTTTTTGGCCGATTTGGCCGGCCAAAATGGCAAAACGGCCAATGGCCAACCCCGGCCAAATTTTGGCCAAATAACAAAATACTAATACTTTATTAAGGCTGTATTGGCATTTGGCCACGGCCAAAGATTTTTTTGGCCAGTTTGGCCGACCAAACTGGCCAAACGGCCAAATGGCCAACCCCGGCCAAACGGCAAAGTGCCAACACTGTTAACGGCGTTTCACCAAACCGGGTAATGGTTTGCCACCACCATAAACCCATTTCCTATACTCCAAGGAAGCACCTTTGGTGTCTCCAGCGTTAAGCTTTCTACGTAACGTAGATTTTTGATAAGCACCACAGCCAATGTTGAAGGTAAATGAACACAAGGCAGAGAACTGATTAGAATTTAGTTTAACCCGAGTGAGTGACTCAACGCATTTTTCGAATCTGGCTAAATCCTTTTTGAGCAATGCTTCTCCTTCAGCGCGACTGATGGGAGGGCGGATTTTACTACAATCATTGACATGATAAGCATGACCATAACCAATAGTTTTGATTCCCTGGTGTCGTAGTAAATGATGTGATTCATATTTAATTTTGTAATTTCATCAATAAAAAAAAAACTTACCACTGGATCCTTGTAAAAATTAGGGCTGAAACCTTCAAATCTCTCAATAAGTGCCAAACCTTCCTTGTTGATATGTTGAGCACGACGCATCAGTTCTGAGGATGTACCAGTTACGAGGATGGCAAAAACAATCACTAAAGTAATTACATTAGATAGTTTCTTGGCCATTATGATACAGAAAGTAAGAAAGTAATTAATAATAAATGAAAGTAATAATAAATGTAAATGTAACAAATTAAATGTTATTAGGAATTATAGAGAATAGAGAACCCGAAGTGCGATTGAAGCATGTATTTATAACTGTAGGAGTCTTATTGAAAGCATTTTAACGTTTGCATGTAAAAAAAAATATGATAGAAATTCTTGTAGAATGTTTTGATTATCGATACAATCAATCTCATGAATATCATTACATCATTAATAAGGCTGGAGAGTAGATTTGGAGTATATCCTTACTGAGTCCGGTCCGATGATCTTTCTGAGTCCAGTCATGTCAGTTTTTAGCACAGTCATGTGAATTTTGATGCGGACCGAATTTTTACTTTGATCAGACTTCGCTACCATCAGACTAAGTTAATTGTGCCGAGTCCTGTGATGTTGATCAATCGGACTGAACTAAATTTACACGACTGATAGTATTTAATATTATTATAAAATAACATTAATATTAATATTAACATGAAAATTTTATAACTAACATTTGGTATTACTATTAGTGAATTAGTTGTAATATTATTTTTATTATTTTCAGTAATGTCAATTACATCCATGTTTTTCTTTATAAAATCAAATACATGAAAAATTGAAAGAAATACTTTGCAAATTTCATTTGGAAGGCTTACAAATTTGAAATTATTAATTAAAATTATTAATTATATAATATTAATGACATTATAATTATTCATTATGGCATAATATTAATATCTCATTAAATTAAAAAAAATTTTTTTTTAATGACTCATTATAAAGCGAATGGCAAAAAAAAAGCCCAGTGTAGATCAAGATCAAGCTTTATAATTAATCGGACCCAAGTGAATTTAAGTGGATCATCGGACCGCATGGTCCGAGGGTCCGGACCCAAATCCACATGACTGTACTAAAAATTGACATGACTGGACTCAGAAGGATCATCAGACCGGACACTGTAAGGCATAACCGGTAGATTTGCATCAGTTGATCCTGATTTTATAATTCCAACCAGAATTATGACTCAGTAAGTCGATCATTCTTTTTTGGTGATAGCCGTTCCACAAAGCATTTTCCTAAAACGAAATTTCCTTTTTAGGATATCGTGTAACTATAATATTCAAAAAAGGAAAAAAAATTTAACATTATTCCGCCAGCACTATAAAATTTCTGCCAACGGGCAATAAATACCTGTAGATGTCCATTTTTTAACGAATAACGGTTACATACTCTACTGAGGAGGCTTAAATTCTTAAAGTGAGTCGTTAAATAACATTAGGTTGGATCATGGCTTAAATTCCTTAAAATAAGTTGTTAAAAAATTGGAGAATATCAATAATCATCTATAAATCTCATTAGGGCTGGATTGTGAGGCTGAGAGGCTTAAATCCTTAAAGAGAGTTGTTAAAATTGGTGAATATCAATAATCATCTATAAATCTTACTAGGGCTGGATTGTAAGGCTGGGTGGCTTAAACTCTTAAAATGGAGGCGTTGAAAAATTGATGTGAATATCATTTCTGTGGATAAAAGTGACGCCGGTAATTTGACGTCATTCTTGTCATACTTGCATATCTGCATAACCACAAATCATTATTAACGTTTTAAGGTTAACTGTTAATAGCATAAAAAAAGTTGATTTAAAAATTGTCGTAAAATAATTTTTACCTCTTCCTATTTTTTCACCAGAAGAATGTCGTTTTAGGCAGCTTATTATCGGTTCTTTTTGTTCTACTTTACGAACTATTTTATATAACTTCTTGTAGACTGTTCTGTAATTGGTTTCCTCTGGGAAATAAAAATTAAAATATAGTTATCACTTTTTTTCAATTTAATAAACAAACAATTCAATAGTCAATAGTTTAATCTACCATTTTACACCTGACAGTATTTACATGTGGCACACTTACGATTACTTTGTATGTTTTTTAAGTCATTTAAATCGGTGGATGGTTGCTTTTTTTATGGGTTTTATATTCAGTTTTGTGTATTTTTTTTAAAATTTACATATAGTTGTACTGTGTAATGATTAATTATTATAAATAAATCTCAAAAAATTTTAACAAACATATTATTATCAATTCTTATGCAAACTTGTAAAACTTAATTAAACCTTGGTTAGGTTTGGTGTAACTTGGATTCTTAAAACAAGCATACACTACGTCGCATATACCGACATATTGCGGCAGATTTATGAAATTTGGCAAAAACCCCTGCTGCGCCCTCGGAAATTAAAATTGACTTACAGAACCATGTGATATCGATTAAGCTTTTTCCTTAAAAAATGCCAAAATAATAACGCGCCTTTTAACACTGGAAAAATTGGTTAGATGGTGGGAAAATTGATTAGACGCAAGATTGAAATTTTATTAGGGCTCATTTTTGACTGTTCACTAATAAATTTGATCAAAGTAAGTGTATGATATATTAACATTTTAATAGAATTTATTAAGGATATAATAATATTAATCTTTACTGAATAAAAATTAGCTAAAATGATGTATAGTTCGATGGCCAAAAAAAAACAAAATTTTCACGGAAGGGATAAAACAAAATTTTTGGAAAAACATATAAAAATTAATATCACAAAATGTCAGAAAATATGTTTACAACGTCGGAAGAAGTCACAAACAACTTTATGAAGGAGTTTATGAAAGGGTTCGAGGATATTGAAAAGAACTTTTTATTGGACGTATACAAAATAAACACACTAGAGGAATTTCAAGACATTAACAATAAGGCTTTCCCAAGTATACCGGTTGAAAATATAACGGAAAAAGCTCTCATAGAACAAGATATTCCTAGACCGTCTAAAGCTATGTTTATATTGTTTTTCTTATTAGAATGGAGTGTTTGTAAACTTTTACGAACTTTCTTAGAAGAATTGCTCTCCCAAGTTCCCTCAATGACCGCAGCAAAAATTCACAGTCACGTGAGCTGAAAGAGAAATTATGCAATTTAGAAAGTTAGGTAACTTGCTACATCAAGAGAAAATAAAGAAACACATGGAGACGATTACAAAATTGGAAATAGAAAAAAAAACAGATGAACCAATCAAATAATGATACAGTAGACAAAGAACAAATAATATCGGAAAATAAGGAGTTAGTTAAGAAGTACGAGGTCATTATATCTGAATTAGAAGCAAAAATTAAAAATTTAGAATCAGTAAAGAAAAATGAAACGAAAAATAGCAAGTCTAACAAGTGGCGTAACACAAACATCGCAAAATAGAAAGATCACCAAGGTCCAACTACCGACGTTAACTATTTAGATTTCACGTGACTTAAGATTCTATCATATTGGAAAGATGACGAAATCCATGAAAAACAAGTGGGTTACGCAGAACATCTAACAATCAAACGCAATTACAAATATAAGACTGCTCAGACCAGAATCCGCCTAACAAGAGATATGGAAGCAATTTTAATAAAAGGTGGAGCCAATATAACAATTTCGAGAAATAAACGGTTATATTTTTTTAGGATGTTTGACGCAAAGATTTCTTCAAGAGACATAAAGAAAAGATATAGTTATCAATCGGTTACAAAGCTGAACGATCAAGAAAACGAAAAAAAGAATATACAATTATTAAAGACTACATAAGAAAATACGGAGGCCACTTCGCTAAAATCATTAAATTAACAAAATGAAATATATTTTAATGTATTTAATAATGAATAAAAATTATTCAAGGTCACTTATGATTCAGCAATGAACGAAGGATTATGTAATTGGTTGCAGATAAAAGACCAAAACGAACTTATAGGAAAAGATGGGAGTTTCAAGAAGATGAGATACCGAAATACACACAACAACAACGCACATCCTTCGTAGACGCGTTAACGAATAACGAGTCCTACGGTTTCAACAATGCCAAGAAGTAAAGAAGTGATTGAAAAATACAATCAATTAAACTCTGAATTTAGTAATCGAATTAGTGTAATTGGTGGAAAAGTAGATACAAGCAATAAAGATAAGGCAAAAGAAAAGGTTGTGGATTCTGAAAGCGAAAAATTGAACGGGAACAAAAAGTGCGTAGTGACAATTCAGGGAGGAAGGGACGACTCTGATAACGAATAAAAGTTCAATTGAGTAAACAAAATTGAAAGTAAGGTCAAAATTTTTTTTTTTTCGTTGGAAAAGGGTTGAAGATCAATTTAGTCAAGTGAAGAACTATTGGCTAGTTTTCGAATACGTTTCCGTTAGACGGAAATTAATTTTTTGAATTGTTGCATTTTCAATTTTTATCGGATCATTTCATTTCGTAATATTTTATGAATTAATTTAACTTTTCAGCTATTATTACAGATTCTCCTGAGATGAGATTTGGAATTCAACGTTCAAAATTTTTTTTGTAAATTTGCTATAAAGTATGTATAACATAAAAAAAAAATATTTTATTTTATTGTAATTTTGGAGAGTCATCGACTTATTGCGTTCCATAATTTATAAAAATAATTCTTAAAGAAGAAAACAAATAAGAATTCAACATAAAACTTCAATTTATTTAATAACAAAGAAAAATTGGTTGACAATCGTTTATTTCACTTCTTTCGCGAGGTAAATAATAACCATATTTTTACGTTTCTAATTGATTATTTAAAATTTGTCACAAAACTTTTACTATAAATACGTCATTTTATTTAAATTAAGTCATAAAAATATTTTCATTGTACTTCTTATTATAATCTGAAAAAAGAAATGTTCTATAAATAAATACTACATCGGAGTATATGATCCATAAGATCATGGATTGTTGGATATAATAGTTACATTTTATAATATTTTGATAACCAAGATAAATAAACAACTATCATTTATTTTTACTTTTTTAGGATGGGAAATTGAAAGATTGTATTGTTTGGTTAATTAACTTAATCGGAGTTAATTAGAAGATAATAAAAAAAAATCTATTTGAAAAATAATACAGTAAATAAAAAAATGATATCATTGTTCTTTATAAATTTTTGTTTAAATCTTACAGTACAATCTTACAGTACAATAATATTGTCATACAACAAGATAAAGATGTACAGTAACCAAATATGGTAAAGTTTAAAAAAAAAATCGAAAAAATATTAGCATCGGCGTTTATGCATCTTTATGTCCATTATGAGCGTTATATGGTCACGGTCGTTAGTAACCAAGAAGTCTTTCTTCAAAAAATTTAGATGGTAAATGAAGAAATGTACTCGTATATTGAATACATGAAGGAACATTTAAACAACTAATCTGTATTTATGCAGTAAAGTTATCTTTTATTTCGTTTATTTTTTATTTTTTTTTTTTTGATTCCTACGCAGAAATTGAAAATAAAATCATCCGTTACACCAAAATTTTTTTTTAAGAAACAATCAAACAATGTATATTATGCATATAAGATGATCTAAGATAATGATCACTTGCATAAATTCATATGAAAAATGTTTATACGGTTTGTGCGGCTTTAATTTGACCGAGTGTCCGGATTAAAATATTGAATCGGTTTCTATTCCAGCCACATCCAAGATCCGAGTAACTTAATATTGATATGTATAGAAGTAAGCAAGCCACATCCGCCACAGATAATTTAGATAAGGCAATGATGGGCAAGTCAAATTTATATAAATTCTACAGATGTCATGAAATCGAATAATAACAATAACAAATAAAATAAAAAAAAATGAATATGTAAATAATTATCGTTATAAGATAAAAAAAATGTATTAATCTATCTTTTTTAGCTAAACAAATGAACAATAAAAAGATGATTCACGTGCAAAATAAATTAAAAAACGCATACAATTAATTCTTAAAGAAGTTGCTTTCTTCTTCTTATCTGTCATTTACTAGATAAAATTCCAATAAATAAATTATATAACGTCATTTGATGTAAGCATGTATGTAAGTATTTTAAACTCCGTGTTTTTTTTTTTTTTGAAAGAATTTATGGCATTGAAAAAAAACTAATGAGTATGGTTGAAAGAGATATGACATTACTTAATAAGTCGAATTTTGATTTGATAAAGTTAACGTCCAATTCACCATTTATTATCGAACCAAAATCATTAATGGCTGGTGTGGTAATGGAAAGATTGGCAACGAGACAAATTGTCACAAATAGGAACACTGATGATGGTGGTGATGGTGGTGATGTCAATGATGAAGAATACACGGAAATTTTTAATGAATTTATAGACCAAAATATGGTGGCTAGTGAATATTGTTGAAAATAAATTGTGACACCAGCAACTTTCATAAGATATAAATATGCTTTAAAAATCTATGAGAAATATAAAGTCTGAATTATGATATTATTAATTTGTTATATGTCTATCAATAGTTAAAAATAGTTGTTAGAATTACCATCTAAAATCTATGTAGTCTATATCAAAACATTAAGAAATAATTTATATAAGTAATTAAGCTTTTAAAATAAATAAATAAAAGATGATAGATATTTTGTAAATCTATATATAAGGAAAATAAATTCTTAACAAATTCTTTGGAAATTTTTTATTTCACTATATTTATACTAGTTTACAAAGACTTAAATTAATCAAAATTCACAATTTGGTATAAGAATGTAATTAATTTTCTTTTTCTTTTAGAACTTCTTTTCATCAAAAGATCATCAATTTGTAAATTTTGAAATCATATTTGAAATTTTAATTTTGGTGCTACGGATAGTCGGATAGTGCTTTGATCCACGTACGGATTGATCCGGGATTTTCCTTGAAAAGTGCATTTTTACGTGATCACCCATTTTATTCATCACAACCTCTAATCGCGAAATACTAATTCTCTTTTGAAATGTTTAAATATTATAGTTTATTAGAAAAAATTTTAAACAAAATATTTTTATTTATTTAATCGAACAACAAAAATATATTTTTTACCATTGCAATAAAGTTATTCATAATCTTTTAAATTAAAAAGAAAGTTGCGGATTTCATTGGCTATTTTCTGTTACTATATATAAAAATATTATGTTTGAATAAATATGTTTTTTAAAACCCTTATTTCCTTTATTCAAAAAAAAAACAAACATTACATCGATATTTGTAGATTTCATTTCATTCGATATTTCTCATTTCCCATGTTTCAAACCCAAATTAATGTTCCAAATTTAGAAACTGGTATCACTCCTATTTCTTATTTGGAAGCTGGTGCAATTGTCAATTTATACTATAAAAGACATTTTGGTATAATGGCATAATAGGATTTTCAAAAATTTCACAATTTCAATTTCAAAAATTACAAAAATTTAATTTTTTGAAATTTTGTAATTTCAAAAAGAGAAACATTTTAAAAATTTTTTAGTGTAAATTAACATAGCAATTATGTTAATTTTAAAAATAAAATGGTTATAATTTCAGATAGAATATATTTTAATTTATTTTATCAATTGTGATAAAAGATCTGCTGAAAAATTGGGACGGTATATTTTTTGTAATAGAAAATGAATGATAATGAGTGAGTTAGGTCACACACAATGTTTTTGTGATAATTGTAAAAAGAATAGAATGTTTAATATATACAAAGGGTAAAACCCATAAAAAAATTTAATAAGACGTGAATATCATAAAAACATTAAGGATAAAATAATATTCAACTTTACAATTGAAAAGATGTCAAACTCATACGACGACTACAAATTTCAGTCCTCAAGGGACGATGACATCATAACAGCAGTAAATAAATATTAAATCATAAAGTGATCGACAATTACGATCCATGCATGTGCTATTAATGTTTTGGTGACACAATCTTTATATGTAAGTAAGCTCACGAGGCATAAAAATTTTATTTTTTCAATAAAAAATTTTTCTGCACCCAAAAATGTCTAACAAAATTGAACCTGAAGTTATTGATAATTCAAATGAGATGATTAATTGGATTGATGAAGCTATTACAAAAAATTACCTTAAATATTATGAATATAATCATTTTTATAATATTCAAGAAATTGGTTTCGGAAGGTTCGGAAAAGTTTATCGTGCAAACTATAGAAATTCTTGTAAAGTATTGAAAAATTTTTTTAATTTTGATAATGTCACAGTTAAAGAAATTGTTAATGAAGTAATTATAATATTTATTAATTTTATATATATTTTGGTCTTTACGATATTATTATTTCATTTTTTAATTTAAATTCTGTTTTATGATTAGCTTAAACTTCATCGCCAAATGAAATCTTATGAGAATATTATTCATTTTTGTGGCGTTACAACAAGTATGATAAATAGTTTTTGATGATATTTGTTTTTTTATTCTCAGTAAAATATTAAAAATTTAATTATTTTTGTTTTTTCTTCTTTTAAAAGAAAATCGAAATGATAATTCAAAAAAGTATCAATTGGTAATGGAATATGCTGATGATGGTACCCTTCGTAATTATTTAAAAGAACATTTTGATAAACTCACTTGGAATGATAAGTTAAATCTGGCACTTCAATTGGCTCGTGCTGTATTATGTTTACATGATGAAGGAATAACGCATCGTGATTTGGTAATTAATTAATTTATAATATACTTCTATTCATGAATAATTTATAATTTATTCACTTGAATTTAATTAATTTATTCATCATTTATAATTATAGAACCCTAACAATGTATTAGTTCATCAAGGTATTATCAAATTATCAGATTTCGGATTATCAAAAAGAATTGAAGAATCGTTCAATCTTCAATCAAAATTATTTGATATGGTTGTTTACGTTGATCCAAAAGTTTTTGATCAAATAAGATACAATTATTATCAATTGCAAACATACTCTTTAAATAAAAAGAGTGATATTTATAGCATTGGTATACTCTTATGGGAACTATCTAGTGGTCGCCCACCTTTTTGTAATGAACTTTTCAATACATCCGATCTTGATCTGGCTTTAGAAATATTACAGGGTCTTAGAGAGAAACCTATTCCTAATACCCCCGAAGATTATTTAAAACTTTATACTGGTAAATATAATATATTAATAATGTTGTTTTTGGTTAATTTTAAATTATATTAATATACTTAATATATTTAAATGTTTTTAATAGAATGTTGGGATAATGAGCCAGATAATCGACCAACTATCAATGAAGTTATTACTAAATTAAATATAATTATTTCAAATCAATTATTAAGTGAACATCAAGTTATTCAAAATTTTGATAAGATAAATTTAAACGAAATAGAACCTTCGATGTCGTTTGATGAAAATAATTTTAATCTGATGATTCATGAAATATTTACTTTACTTACCAATATAGAAAAAGATAAAGTAAAAGAGGCAATTCTTAATTGTTTTAATGATCATAACGTAAATTCACAAGATATTTATGATTGGTTAATAAATCATCAGGATAATTCAGATTCTATCGTTTTGCTTGGAGAATTTAATTATTTTGGAATTGTAGTTAATGTTGATAGACAAAAAGCATTTGAATTATATGAAAAAGCAGCAAATTTAGGAAATTCAATTGGGTTGGACAATTTAGGAAATTGTTATGATGAAGGAATTGGAGTTAACGTCAATAAAGAAAAAGCATTTGAATTATATCAAAAAGCTGCAAGTTTGGGTAATACGTCTGGTATAAATAATTTAGGATATTGTTATGATTATGGAGTTGGAACTAATATTGATAAACAAAAAGCATGTGAATTATATCAAAAGGCAGCAAATTTAGGAAATATTACAGCTCAATATAATTTAGCTACAATGTATGTAAATGGAGATGGAGCTTTGAAAAATATAGATCAAGCAATTTATTGGTTTGAAAAAGCTGCTGAACAAGGTGATGAAGACGCTCAAAATAAATTAGAAGAATTCAAGAATTTGATATGATTCTTTTTTTTTACAATGTATTATTTCTTTACTTGATTATAAAAAAAAAAAAGAATAAATTCAAAATTTGGCTTTTTGTTTATTTTTCTACATAATTTTTGAAAAATTCTTTTGTGAATATTTATATAAATTTCATTCCGACGTCTTATCACCACTCATTTATCGTCATTTACTTTATTCATACATTGAAAAATTATTCAAACTATTGAAGTATAGCCCCTACACTCACCATACTCTGTCACTTCCAAAATATTATACAGTATAATCAAATATTACCCCAATTATAAATAATATTGAATAATAAAAAAAATAGATTAGAAACGACAATAAAAATGAGAAAGTGAAGGAGTGTGATAAATAATTTTGATCACATGATTCGCAGAATTTTTTGGGTGCGCTTGGGAGTAGTTGACCGCGCGGTCACATTCTATATTTCTATGTAGCAATTCTCACTTCTTGTACTTTCGAATATAAATATCAATAAGGCTTTTGAACATAAAATTTCCACACTCTTTGTATTTATTTTTTCGCATGTAATTAATAAAAATTATACTTTGAATATATTCGTTCTTATATATAATTTAATGCAATGATTAGCAAACGCAGTAATTTATTTATTTATTTATTGCAAAAGAAAATAATAAAGTTTTTGAGAATATGACGTTTATCCTTCCCTCCCTCCCTCCGAACCTAAACCAAATTCATTTTCTAATTAGATGTTATGAAGTTCTAAGGAGCGAACTTTGGCTGCTCGTTCTCTCAAAGTAAGTTTCCGTTCTTTCAAGCTCAAAGTTCGCTTCTCTTCTTCAATTTTATTTTCATTAATCTTTTTTGATTCCTTTGGTGTTACCCAAAGTAAATTTGCTGTCTTTAGATCTTCCTAGAAAATTGAGAAAAAAAGCGTGAGTTACAGTAAGTAATAAGTACAAGAGAGAAAACCTCCTTCATCCAGGGCATGCCAGTAACAGCCAGGAGAATACTCCTTCACCCAGGGCAAGCCAGTAACGGCCAGAAGAATACTCCTTCACCCTGGGCAAGCTAGTAATGACCAGGAGAATACTCCTTCACCAAAGACAAGCCAGTAACGGCCAGGAGAATACTCCTTCATCTAGGGCAAGCCAGTAACGGCCAGGAGAATACTTCCTTCGCCCAAAAACTTGGTTCAAAGTGTAAGTTTAATTAGGGAAAGTACATAACTGATTCCACCTCCAGAATCAGTAGACCCCAATTAAAAACTTGCACTACAACAAATAACTTACTTTTTTAGATACCATTAATTCTCGTGCTATTTTAATTTTGCGTCTTGATGACAATTCCTGAAGAACTTTGCCAAGATATTATAGAAAAGTCTTTGTGTTAGTGATTTCTGACAATATTTGATGTTGTTTAACATCCAACCATCGAAGTCAACTAATGACCATTCTTTTGGATTTTTATCAAAGTATTTTCATATCTTTTGTTGTCCATAATGGAGGCGTTTATACGTGCGTGTATTACTACAGTTCAGAGTCAAAGAAGAGTCAGGATGAAAAAGCAGTGTATTTATATACGTTTATACGTGCGTGTATTACTTACTATAGTTCAGAGAGTTCAGAGTGAAAAAAGAGTCGCGTTTTACTATAGATTGATAATCGCGTTTTGAGAAAAATTCTAAGGAGAAGGGATGAAAAAGTAGTGTATTTATATACGTTTATACGCGTGTATTACTTACTATAGTTCAGAGAGTTCAGAGTGAAAAAAGAGTCGCGTTTTATTATAGTGCGTTTTGAGAAAAATTCTAAGGAGAAGGTAGTGTATTTATATATGTTTATATAGTTCAGGGTCAAAAAAGAATCGCGTTTTACTATAACTAAACTTATTTTCGGTTACTTAATTATTATTAAATCTCAGCACTCAAATTTTATTAAACCCAATTTATTTTATGCATAAATTTACTATTTATAGTTAGGCCATACAAACTTGATTTTATGGTTTTCATAATATAAAAATTTCATCAATAACCCGGCAACCCGGCTTTTAATTTTTTTTTTCAAAAATTTTATATGCGAAATTTTTTTTCAATTTTTAAAAAATTCTCACCCGGCATAGTAATATTATAAAAAAAAATTTTTTTTAACTTAACGAACTGATCCAGCCGGACTATGAAAACCATTTTTACCACTTTGTGTCACCTTACATGAGTTACGCGTAAGCAAATAAATGTCGCAGTAGTGCGGTACTACAAAGTAATATAGCTATAAAGTTTATGATTTCTGGCTACAAAAAAAATACATTTTTTTATCGTGGGCATATAGATAATACTATAGTACTACTATAGTCTATAATTTTCATCTCAGAGTTACTACGCTTAATTTTTTTTTCCGTAGTTTATCGGTAGTTAAAAATTGTATAGTCTTTCGTGGTATAAACTAGTTATTTCACAAAAAGCCGTAGATATTATTGATAATCACGGCAGAACTGTGATGATCAATGATATCTATGATATCTCGATAAATTTAATTACATAAGCTAATTGCTTCAATTATAATATTATAAGCATTTTTTATTGTTAAATAAGACTGATACTTTTTCGTATACTAAATAACATGTAAAATTAAAAGGACGCATCGCGTTAACACATACAATTTATTTTATTATATATCCTTATAGGATCACACTGTATTTTTTTACATTTATTGAATAGCTTTATTGATTATATATAATAAATGATAAATCATTACTAATACATTAATAAAAACTTTATTTATTTATTTATTTATTATATGTCAAGCAGGAAGTAATTTGGGTACAACGTAAGAAAATACAGATATACCACGTACATACTATAACAACAGACCCTCACTTGTATCTATAGGAACCTTCCTGTTCAATACTACGACCAGTAAGGAACAGCATCACAACCAAAAAAATATAAAAAAATTAATGATCCGTATTTTTCTTTCGACCAAAAGGCTGCCAACTGTAAATACTGTCAGATTTGGAATGATTCACACTATCCTAAATTGTTGCTGTTTAATGGGGAAAAACTACTATTGCAGAAAAAAAAAGGTGTAGCTATCATGACTACTCGTAAAAATGTAATTTGACTCGTTAATGGATATAAAAAATAAAGTAAAATTAATGTTTTGAGTTTGAAGTTCCTGCTTCTGTTGAGTCACCGTTTAAGGCAGGGCGTTTATAGCGTCAGAGGTCACTATATTAGTAGATCGCGCAGCATCGTGCTTGTTAGGTCTATGTTCTACCTCTTTGGTATCATCGGATGTATCTTGTGAAGCACCTTTGCGAAGAGGGACAAGTCAGCCAACTTGTTTGGATCTTCTAGTGAAATCAAAACCTTTGATAAACTGATACATTTCTTTTTAATTTGGATTTGACATTGATGTTCAATGTCTTTGGCGTTTATGTAGTGTTGCGAATGTTCAGTCATTTCGTTGTGGAATGTGTTGGTCTTACTAGTGAGATAATTCTTTTCATTCGACCGACGATCAACTTTTGTAACGGTCGTTCTATGGTAATCAGCTTCTGCCTTTTCTTGTTGAATAATCTCTTCACGCTGACGTTGCTCACAGCGTAACTTTTTTTGTTCAGCTGGACTTAAGATACGTTCTCGGGGTAAACTTTTTTTCCAATTCGTACATATATGTAAACCATTCACTAGATCCTGGAGATATAAAATCACCCTTATTCGTATAAAGAGGTACTTCTGGGATAATGTTTCTATTTCAAGGGGATAAACATATTGGAAATGGGGTTGAAAGGTTCCACCGTGTGGATTATGTCCGTAGAAGATGGGATCGTGTCAATCGTAACCTTCTCAGAAGTAGTGAGAGGTTGTAGGGAATCAGGTTTAGCAAAAAGGGGGACTAATAATTTATAATATTTTGCCTCAGGTAACATAAATCCTTTGGCGTATTTCAAGTATTTCACTGATTTGTTAATATGGGATTTCAGAAATAGGAATTGATATTTCTGCGCTGTAGCAAGTTGTTCAGCTGGTTTGTCACGACGGATATGTCATGATTTGTTGAAAATTCGTCTACACGCGCGTTTAAAAAGATATCTTGTTTTTTCTGCACTTTAGAGTTCGTGCTCGGAGTGATGGAGAAATTGCTGAGCCGTTTTCTATACATATGTCTATTTCCTAACTTCAGAATTGAAGTACCGTCGCGAGCATGGAGCGTCTCGGTGAAGGAAATACCCAGCCTACGGGAGAAGATATGTTTTTTAAAGTGAGATTTCCATCGAAAGTACAAGAGGTTGGCATGTGAAATCTTGTTATTAATAAATTTTTGTGTCGTGTCTACAGTCTCTATATGTTTGGATTCTCTAATATTTTTGAAAGCGTCATTTTTAAACAATTGAGATTGGTGTGTGATGCAAGCGCGTTGTCCGTGTGACATTATGAAAGGAGTAGGTTTATCACAAATATGTGTGGTTGGTGAAATAACTGAATGTTTGGACGTGTGTGAATATATATTCCAAAGTAAAAATGATAACGTAAAATTTAAAAAAGTTCTTGTAGTAGTATTGCGTTTAGCCTCTCTAGTAGCACGTGATAAGATGATATGTATACGATCCAATAATTTTTGTCAGATCAAATTAAAATATTTTTGTTCCTTTTAGTTGTAAGGAAAAGAAGTGTGTACTTACTTGGTATTTGTTGTTCGGGAGTGGGGTGGATTTCATGTGGTAATCATTTGTGTGTATTTTAAGATGAATATCATTGGTGCATTTTCTACGATCGGCAAGCTCAAAAAAGTAACTTCTTGATCGCAAATCTTGTTATAACCAGCCCGATTAGGACGGGTCACTTGATATTTGGAAATGAGACGTCGAAAGAATGATCCCCAAGGGAAGAAGTTGAGAGTTATGAAAATGACAAAATCGTAAAAAAGTTATGTTTATGTAAAAAAACTACTATCCGTAGGGTCAGTTTGAGTTGAGGAGTTCTTTCCATCAGAGGCCACCCCGTGGTCCTCTCTCCTCTATCGCTTAGTACGAAGGTGGAAAAAAGTTATTTGAAAAAATTTTACTGCGGATTTCTGTGAAATCAGACGGAAAGGGGAAAGAGTTTTTTTTTTATACAATAAAACCTTAAATAGACTATAAATTAACTCGCGACTAATTTAATAGTGTGATCATCAGAGTCTATATAATAAAACACTTTTTGTATAAGTCTTTAGGCAATACTTTGTTGCAGCGGTCAAATTATGCCACTTCATGGCACAATCTGAGCCAATTAAATGGCCTCAATCGAAAACAGCACGTTATTGCCTAAATACTATACAATAAGTATATAATATTGTAGAGACTTAACAAGGCACGGTTAGACATGTATGATCTTTGACTGAAATATTTGTAATCAAATATATATATACTGCAACTAATAATAGTAATTAAATGCAATAATATTTCTTTACTTTAATTTGCATCAATGTGTTTTTTAAATGTATACAATCTATAGTTTGAGAATCGCGTTTTACCGATACGAAGTATACGAAGTTTATATATTGATCATCATCATGTATTTAATTTTCACACTTAGATCACACTTTCCTGATTTAAGGCTGCGAGAGTGCGAATTTAAATGACATATGTTACTTGTAGTGCTGATATTATTTCTATTATTTCTAGACTCACTAAGTCAATTCGAAACCGATCACTGGAAGGATTTGAAAAATTGGAAAACCAATAACAATATTAACGGTTAGAATCATGCTCCGCCAAAAGCATCTCAACTTAAGTTGGTTATGGTGACGAGCCCTGGAGATGCCTAGCAAACGTCTCAATCAGAAGAAGATTTGAATGTAGTCCAGTCAATGAATGTGAAAATCTCCCATATTCGAAATACTGTAATGATTGCTTTAAAAATGCCTATACCTGAAGCTTGTTTTGGGAAAAAAAGATCTAGTAAAATACCCTGTGCATGACATACATTTATCCCTATTCATTTCAGCAAGAATTTTTCTGAAGTCTATTATAATGGATGGTTTGATAGTAAATAAATTCAACTTATTTTCGAATAAATTATTGATCACAGGAGAGTTTAGAGAGTGGGTGAAGTTAAAAACTATGGTGAAGAATGAAATTTTAAATATTGAACTAATAGAAGATTTAATTTATTATAATTTCACCTATGAATTAAACTGGAATAAGTCACTATATTTTGTTAGCAATTTAAATAAATATTCTAAAAGGCAAACAGGTGATTCGAACGTGTGTATAAAATTAAAAATCTTCTGAAAGAATTACCGACGTATGCTATATTGTTCAAAAGAGATGTAAATATGATTGTTAGTGAAATATGTATACGTTGCGAAAAAGAAGTTTATGATTGGAAACATATTTGGATACGTAAAATAAATGAGTTGAGTGCAATAGTGTCTCATGAAGAACAGATGCTAGAGAAAGATCAAGCAGCATTGGTGTGAAATATAAATATTGCATTCACGAGTATTTTATTTGAACAATCATCAATTTTAGTAGGCAAAACAAGGGAGTGGGAATTATTATAGTAATGGATTCAACAAAATAACTATTGTTATGATCAACAAATTTGGGATAAAATTTCATTAACCGGAATTGGACTAGATATACAACATGACTTGCCGATCAAGCGCTTAACTCTAAAGAATACGGATCAGCAATTCAAATGTAGTCACACAAACACCATTTATAAATATCATCAGGAAATTTTTTTATATGTAAAAAATATTCAATATTTTGTGCATGAAAAAACTGATTTGCACACCATGAAAATGCATATTTAATATATATAATGTATTTCCATACAATATATTGTAAAAAAATTTGTTAATTTTTATATAAATTTGTACAAAGAATTATACATATAATATTGTTAATTATATTGCATAAATTTCGAGAAATTTAACTATTTGTGCAATATTGAATACCCTGAAAATTTTGTGATGATTATCTCTCATGATTCCAAGTGACATTTAGATCATTTGTGTCATTTCATAGCACTGTCGTACGTTGTAACGGAATTACACTGATTGACAAAAGATCTAACCTTATACTCCATGGGGTCCATAGGGTGATGGGGTGTCATGGGGTACGGAATTGATAAAAAAAAAGGAACGATTTTTTATGGAAAATTGTACAACTATGAAAATTATCCCGGGTTACACATGTAAATATGTAATATAATATAATAAACTAACTCTAGTAAACTATTTCTTAACTAAAAATGTAATTTCTCAAATTCTAAACTAAATCATATCTAATCTATGAATCATTAATTAAAATAATTAATGAGGCACTTTTTCATCATAAAAAAAGGCAAAAAGAATCGAATAAGAAAATTATGTATGGAATTACGTGGGTAATTTTCTAAAAAGTATTCGCTTCTTATTTAAATATTTTCCCTATGCCTTCGAGATCTTAATTGAATATCTCATTGTTGGAACCAATAAAATTACGTTACCCAAAATTATAACCAACTTAAAATAACACATAAATTAAAATTCACAAACACATTTACAAAAGAATAGTTTAACGTCAAATTTCGAACGTTCTACCCCAATTGTTGATCATTCCGGACCGCAGTAAATAAAAATACTATAACTAAATATAATACTGCGCCTTATATTTTCGCAAACTAAATTTAAAACGGGTACAACCGGTTTGACCCGTTTCAACCGATTTTTACAAAGCAACCATTATTTCAGCCAAATTCATAATTCTGGGTCAATTTTTTTTATACGTCAATTTAACAAATTCCGAATTAGGAATTTTCATGTCGATCACAAATGATCACGTGATACTGGTTCATCCCTTCGGCGAAATTTGCTTCAGCAAAATGGGCTTCTGTGAATTGGACTTCAGCGAAAAGTCCGGATACTCCTAACNAAAAAAAAAAATATGAACACGGTTCAAACCGAATCATTGTTGGACCGAATTTACAACCGGTTTGTGCAACCGGTTCAAACTCCAGTTCCTTCGCCGGAATGGCTTTGGCGAAATGTCCTTCGGTAAAATGTTTATTCGGGAAAATAGCATTTCGATGAAACATCCTTTCGGCGAAATTTGCTTCAGCAAAATGGGCTTCTGCGAATTGGACTTCAGCGAAAAGTCCGGATACTCCTAACAGCCTAACCCTAATTCGTTTCATATTTATGATTATGTGTACAAAACGTCTAAAAAGGCACCATTTTGTCCGATTTATGAAACAAAAATTAAGAGAATGGTGCTTTTTTAGACATTTATTACATGAGCACAAATATACATTTCGTTTTTACTGTTATCACTTTTTAAACCGTTTTTGATAAGATTTCTGATCATTAACCGGAACATATTTTATTAATGTTTTTACAGCTGATTTCATAATATTATACTACACTCCAAAATTAGCGTATAATTTTTATTTTATATCAAGCTTTACCGAATATTTCTGAGTTCTTTAAGCGTCCCGTACATTATGAAATCAGCTGTAAATTCGGAAACACTGCTGCATATTTACTTTATACGGAATGTACAAAATAAATTGGTTTTAATAAATGCTTTTTTCGGAAAGGGTAAATTAACAACAGCTAACAAATATACACCATATTTCTTAAAAATAAGAGAAAATCTGATTATCAATAATAAATAGTTAAAAACTGATTTCTTTGTAATGTATCGGTTATGTTATATTTTGCTAATTAACAGATTATATTTTCATTTGTTGATATGGTATGAATTATATGATAATTAGGCGTAAACTGTATTTTTGTTTAAATCGTGTTTAACTATTCACAAAAAAAAACTAACTTCGAAATCACGAAGTGAAATATGCATATTTGTGGGAACGTTTCTTAATTGTAATCAAATAATTTAGTAAGGAACTATTAAGGTAATATTAATGTCGGTAAAATGCTGTCAGTTATCGTAAAACTAAAATCATTTAAATGAGTATAAAAAAATTTTGATATCCTAAATATAGTAAAATTCATAAATAATTGAGTAAAATAAATAATAAGATATTTGGGAGACTATCAATAGGCAATAGATAAGGAGTAGATTTATTTTTAATATTTTCGGTTATTAGGCTAACTTTATTCACGTGGCAAGATTGACCACCTCCTATTTCTTAAAAAAAGACAATAATAAATAATAATAAGAATAGATTATTAAATTAAATTTAATTATTTGATAGGTAATAGTTATTTCACGGGAGTCATGAATATCAATGATTTTCACGGCTTGCGCCGTGAAATCATGATATTTATACGACACGTGAAATAACTCTTATCTCGTGGAGACTAACGTCCAGTGATGGGAAAGAGTGGGAAAGGTATAAACAAACTATAAAAACACGTGAGCATGAAAAATATAATCAGAAAAATTACAGGCATGAATATATCATCAAAAAATCACTGGCGACCAATTAGTAAACATGAGATAGTTATTATTTAACTAATATATTACTATGATAAATATATTTTTTTAAAATGAACCCTATACTCCTTTGATCGGATGTGCGAATTTTTTTGTCAATTAAAGATTGATTTAAACGAACAAATCGAATCAAGTCAAGTCATAGCTCTTGGCAGAAAATCATTGAAAATCTAGGTTTTGAGATTATATATAACCACTGCCACCAAAATTTTGTTTTACAGAATCAACTTACTACGCTTAGAAAAAGAAGCAGAGATTAAATAAAACTTTAAAGTCCCAAATTGACAACTACCCAAACTACTACTCTCTCAGGTCTATCGAACAACATTAACTAATATGAAACTTAAAAGCTTTTACCTTCTTACTGTCCTTTTCATGTGTTTCTATATAATGGACATTAAAGGTAAAGTCCTTACATTCAATATGTTTTCCATTTTCTTTTCTAATGATTCAACTTTTTTGGTTTAATGTATAGCATATAATTCCATCACGGGTTTGGAAATGTTTCTCTGCAGTTGTAGAATTTGGATAGAGGATACAAATGGTTATCGCATAGCCGGTGACTCAAACTACCATGATTGTACTTACAATACCCACGGCGAAGAATATACAAATATTAATTTTCCAAACCAAACGTACTCAGTTCATGCTAAAGTTCAAGGTAGTCTCAGGAAACAGAAAATACGAGGACCTTTTAATGAAAATACCTGTTTTAGTATACATGGCAGTGTTGATAAGTGGGGATTTGATCAAAAATCTTGTTAATCGTTTATTTGGATATTATCTCAGTATGTTGAAGATGTGAACCAATTAAATCTGTTTCTCTAGTTGTATAATTAATTATTTTCTAGAAATATGACATCATTAATAATTAATACAAAAATTTTTAATTTTTCGGAAAATTATTTACCAAAAAATTTTACCGAAATTTCTCTGTGGCAAATTTAATGTAATGTAATTCAAAACTATAATCAAATTACTCATAATCATAACTTACATATTTTTTATTATTATTTGCGAAAAACATATACCCGAATATTCAACTTTAGTAAAAATGTAAAATTTTCATTGATGAAAGATATGAACTTGGGTTTGCTACTGACAATAATATGTGATAAATTGAAGACTTCTTTATTATGTTAAATGTTACAACAAAAGGTATTATATTCGATAAGATATAATATATTATTTACAGATAGACTATATACTTTTAAATTTAAAGAACTAAAAATAGGTATTAGAAATAGCAGGATTCATCTGATTCATCTTAGTTATTATTGAAAATATTTTTTTTTTCTACTATTAAAATGTTATTGCAATGGTCACGAATATCCTAAAAATATTTATTATACTGGCGTGACGAATCAGATACTTATGAAAAATCGAAAAACGGAGGTGAGTAGAAATAAGACACGTGATTTTTCGTGCTTTTTTTTTCAGGTTTACGCTAAGAAATTAATATACAGTATACGTTATTATTTAAAGTCAATTGTGCTTTTACTAGAGGTAAAATTTTAAATTTCCAGTGTAGTTTATTTAAAATACAAATTCAAAAAAAATTCCATAATTTATCCTTAATTTATTTAGTTAACGATTGACTTTTGGCGAAACAACACACAAAATCTTAATTGATGCCCTATAAAAAAAGAAAATTCGGAATTTGTCCTGAAAAGTATGGAAAATGTCCGGAAATTTTCCGTGCGTCCGGAAAACATTTGGAAACGGTCACGTTTTGGAACACTTTCCGGACGCACAAATTCCAGACATTTTCTTGACACTCCAGAATTTGTCCAGAATTTGTCCAGAATCGAGCGTCCGGAAAATGTTCCAAAACGTGACCGTTTCCGAATGTTTTCCGGACGCACGGAAAATTTCCGGACATTTTCCATACTTTTCAGGACAAATTCCGAATTTTCTTTTTTTATAGGGATGACGCAGTAATTTAACTATCATTCACGTGTTTCGATTTTTAATATATGAACAATTTTTAAAATTCGATTCCAGTAATTATCGATTGAGATTAAACAATAGATCAGGTATATACGGCGACGAAGTCGCCGCTAGACTGTCTAAAACTTTTATAAGTTATTGTTTATAGTAACAAAGTTTTATAGCTTTTTTAATATAATTTATTAATCAGCAATCTAAGAAAATTACAAAAAAAATTGTTTAACAATAGTAAGTTTCAAAATTAATGAAAAATCGGAAAAAATATTATTAATTAGGTTGTTTTTTTTTAAAAAAAAAAAAATTGGTAAATCCGCCTAAAATTGGTTACGAATTGGAAAGAGTCGGGTTGGTTAGTTAAAAAAATCTGGTAAAATCGGTAAAATCCGTCTGAGTTATAAGAATTGGAAAAAGTTGGATTGTTTAAGCTCAAATTTGGTAAAATCCACCTAAAACTGAATAAAATTCGGATAAAATTGCTATTAGTTAGCAATAATAGTCTATACTGCTGTATGTCTGAACTATCATAATGCTTGATCCATTACAACCATTCATTTCGAGCTAATATCTATCCAAGTTTTATTTAGTAAAACATTTCATTAGTAATTAAAAATAAATTAGTTAATTCAATGTTTGTTATTTACCAAATTGCCGCAGTTATAACATCTATCTGTTGTTAGCTGTCCATTTCGAGATAAGTATTCTGATCCAAGTTCTTATTTAGCTAGATAATAAATATTTCATTAGTAATTAGTAAATTAATTCAGGACTTAATCCTAACCTAATCTAATCCTAAACTATAAAAGTCTGTTTGTGTTCTAATAAACTCAAATTTATTTATTACGTCACTTACTAAAATAACGCAGTATAAGATTCTTTCCGTTCAATCAGTACCTTCCTTATTCCTTCCGTTCCAAAGCTTCAAGTCCAAACCTAAAATAGCAGATAAAGAAAAGGAGGGTATCGATTGATTAGTAATATTCAAAATGAAAAAAATAAATAAATAATAAAAAAGGTTAAACAGAACATTTGTCACCTACCCGTATTATTCCATTTTGATCAGTACCTTCCATTTCTGAAGCTACAAGTCTGAACCTAAAATAGCAATGAAGAAAAGAAATGGGTCAATTAGTATTAATATTCGAAATAGAAAAAAAATAATTATTAAACGGAACAATTGTAATCTATCCGTATTGTTCTATTTTGATCAGTACCTTCTATTCCGAAGCTCCAAGACTGAACCTAAAATAGAAATGAATAAAAAGATAGGGAAATTAGTTCAAAATGAAAAAAAAACAACAAAAAAAGTTGATTAGTAATATTCAAAATGGAAAGAGACTAATATTTTTAATCAACATATATAGTGATATATATGATAAATTATGATCATAAAGTATATTATATAAATAAGTAGAGATATGAATAAAAAATCTATAGTTTATTTTAGTAAAACAATGAATAGCGACTATATGTTGAATAAATTTTTTTTACATTTAAACGCTTTTATTGTAGTATAACTTGTACTTTTATAAAAACAGTAATATCATATGACTTATACTGTTATCTAATACAAAAAATGATCAACATACGCGTAATGGATATGGCGCGTAAACAATCTACTAATCACAATGACTCACAGTAAAATATCTATAAAAACCTCATATTTATTTTTCAGAAGTTTTTTTCTCCTTATAATATTTATTATCTTTTTAGTTTTCAAAAGTTTTCTCCTTTTAATATTTATTATTATCTTTAAATATTATACAACCACCCTCCATCAACGCTTGTTACTACATAACTCTCATAACTCTCATAATTAAATATTTTCGCGTCGCTTTGTCACCTATCACGCGTTTTTTATTTACAGCTACTGTCCAATAGTTATTATAACTTTCTTGAACTTATCAGTTATTATATTTATGTAAGATTTCATTCTTATCCTTTCTACAAAAGCCTTGGAAGATTTCTACTTAAATGTCAATAAAGATAATTTTATTGGGCTTTTTTTGTTATTTTGGTAAGTGGAAATGACTAAGCTGGGATGTATAAGGGATTTGTGCACCTAGAGTGCTCTGGTTATCCTCCTCTTCTAGAAGTCTGGTTACCTTAAATGAGAAAAATAATACTCAAGCTATGTCGCAGACTTCTGTATGTGGGGCCCTTCCCTTTGGTGGTGGGTCTCATGTCTTATTATCAATGTGATAGTACCTCTGCACGAGTTTGATCACTCACGATATATCGTTAATGTCAGTTGATAGTGGGCGTGGGGGCTTGAATCTGTCTTTTCTACAAAGCTTACTTAGAGTACTCGAGTCTTCTAATATATTTTTATTATTTATTTTTAGGTAATAAATAACTTATTCTAACAAGAAAGTTTGGAAATCTTCTTAAAATCTGGACGCCCAGATGATTAATTTCGTTTTTGTATTTTATTTTCAAATAATGTGAGATTTTTATTTTCACAATTTATGCATGATATTTTAGAAAATTAATTTCTCGTGAGTTATTAATTTCTCTAGTTTGATAGAAAGATTGCAAGCTTCTCTTTTGAATGAAAACGTGAAATCAGGTTGCTGCCTGCGGTAATTATAGTAGCCAAAAAATTTATAATCATTTGCTGGTGTATTTAAAAATTAATCAGATATTTTTGTCATAATTGTAAAAAAAAAGAATATTACGTGTAAGAAAAAAAAGACAATAGATTATACTTATAATAAAACTGTTGTACTATCAAAATTATGATTTTTGCATTAATAAAATGTAGTTACCTTTGTTAAGAAATAATAATGGCAATATTGCGTCAAAGTGGATGTTCAAACTGTATTATATCGATCAAAATCATTCGTATTCTTCTCATCAATCATAATTATTAATATTTTTTTTTTTTTAAAAAAAAACTGTAACGCATCTTTATTAAGAAATCACGTGATAACCTATAACAGAGTACATCGAGCTAAAAGACACATTACAAAAATTATAAATTATTTGGCTGTCCGGCTTCACATAAAATAAAATAAAATAAAATACAAAAATTATAAAATAAATACTAAACCTGTCCTAAGTTGACCTAACTAATGCTAAAACTAATTGAATAAAGAGCTACATAAGATCTACTAATGTAAAGAATACTTGTTAAAAACTTCGTCGTTCTCCAGACTTGGTTTGTATAATTATTAATATAAAAATTATATTGAGACATTTGATTTTATATTACATGTTCATCATCGGGATTAGTTAAGTCATATTTCGGTCAACTGTACAACCGAAAAATTGATTTAAATATGTTTAATTCTATTATTATTACAATATTTATAATATTTACAATCTAAACTAGCTAAATTCTTTATTTAAAAACTATTTAATAATACAGGTTGTTATTGTTACATATTTATGTAATATTTGCATATAATTCAAATAAAAATATTAATATTATTAAAAAAAAGATTGAAAAAAAACCGAAAAAAAAAAATTAATAATATTATAAAAAATTATTAGGTTTGAAAAAAAAAAAATTAAAAAAATTAATATTAAGGAAAAAGGTTTCAACCTTATGCTGCGGTCGATTGCATCATTTCAAAAGGATGAAAAAATAATGTGATTAATAAGAAAAAATCAAACTTTATTCGATAAAATAACGCTAAATTTTCTGTTTAATAGAATTTGCTTATAGTTGAAATATTAGTGACAAATTCTTTAAATTTCACATGAAAAATTGCAGAATTTTTGTCTTATTCAAAGAATGAAATTAGTGAATTCACTCATCACTCTAAAGAAGGAATTTTAAAAGTGACAAATTCTATTTGATCTTTAGTGGATATTTTTGACAATTCACTATTGTAAGTAAAAATTTCATTATATTGATTAGCTGATAATATTTAAATACCAACAATAACGATAATTATTATTTTAATACAATAAAAAGAAATTGGATATTTTTGACTCCAGTATTACTATTGATGCAATTTGGAATAGTAATATTTGTATTAGACTATTAGGTAATGATTAAAGTAAAATTTAATACAATAAATTTTAAATTAACACGAACTGATCATTGTATGCTTAATTTTCTATAATAATAAAATATTATATAAATATTAGATATGGATTTGAAATCTTTAGTATTAACATATCATAGAAATAAAATGCGTAAAGAGTACAACGTTTTAATACCGTATATATAGCATTATTAATGTTAATTTATTTTTAATTTAATAATCCATAGGAATTGTATTGTCTCAATACTTCTACAGTACATTCAGAAAAATTTTGCTTCAATGAGAAAATATATAGTGATTTAAAATTTATTTTTCATATATATGAGAAATAAAAGAATGCATAATGAATAAAATAAAAAATTGTCACAAGATAGTATCGATTAAAAGGTGTCAATTAATAACTTGTAACTTAAAAGTGTACATGTACAATGTGTATATACAGAGGGATAAATTAATTAAATTATGGTTTAGATGTACCATTTTTTTCCAAGGTTCTGAAAAATATAAAAATAATTTTTCAAAAGGCTGATATAATACTAATAATTCCATGTTTCCAGGGGAATCTCCTTATAAAAAGTTAGCTCATAAAAATACTGCATGTTAAAAATCGTTAATTTCTTACCGTTTACATTTACTACACACTGTATTTTTAATTTAATTATTTGATTATAACGTAATTGATTATAATATGGACGCTCAAGAATGAAATTACTCATTAAAAAAATTAAACTGTCATATACAATACTTTAAAATTTCATTAAATTAGATATTCTATTAACGATATTGCATAAAGGTAAAAAAATTAACTAATTAAAATTACATTAATTATTTATTCAGAATTAGCGATAATCTTATATTGCGATGGTAAACTTATTCAACTCTCGTATAAATTATTAGCTTTGTCTGAATTAAAACCTGTCTAATGGAACGGTAATCAAATATATTGATCTAAGCATTGGTTTGATAGACCGTTCATGTAATTTATCTTGTTACTATTCAATAATTTAGTTATTATTCACCTTTTTAAATAACATGGATCTAATTAACCATATTTAAAATCAGTGTAATGAAGTAAAAAAAGTGAGTCATGATATCACAATTACTAAAATTTTAAAATTTTGGATTTATTTTTAACTAACGTTAAGCATGATATAATAACTATTAAGATATATATCAATTATATGCTTAAAAAGCTATATATATATCGTTTTTTTAATTTTTGAAAAATTTTGCTAATTTATCTTGAGAATATTTGTCTCCTTGTTCAGCAGATTTTTTATACCAATGAATTGCTTGATCTATATCTTTCACAACTCCATCTCCAATTTCATACACTACACCAAGATTATATTGAGCTATACTACTACCTAAATTTGCAGCATTTTTATAATATTCATATGCCATTTGTTTATCGATACTAGTTCCAATTCCAAAATAATAACAAACTCCTACATTAAGTATTCCAATTGTATCTCCTAAATTTGCAATCTTTTGATGTAGTTCAAATGCTTTTTTCTTATCAACATCAATCCCAATTCCACCTTCATAACAATAACCTAACCAAGTTATTCCGTATACATCACCCAAATTTGCTGCTTTTTGATATAATTCAAATGCTTTTTTTTCATTAACATTGACTTCGATTCCAAACAGAGTAAATATTCCAAGTAAAACAATAGAGTTCGAATTATTCTGATTATTTAATAACCAATTATAAATTTTTTGTGATGTCACATCATGATTATAAAAACAATTAAAAATTTCCTGCTTTACACTATCTTTCAAATCTAAAGTGGTGGCTAGAATGATAATCTTATCAACTAGTATACTAAAATCATTATCAATCAATGACATCGGAGGTCCTATTTCTTTTATATTTATCTTATTAAAATTTTGAATTATTTGAGATAATTCTCCATGTGACGAATTATTAAGTGGTTGACAAAAATTTGACAATTGATTTGAAACAATTGATTGTAGTCTAACAATAACCTCATTTATAATTGGACGATTATCTGGTTCATTATTCCAACAATCTAAAAAGTATTGTAAATATGCAATTTAGTTAACCAAAATAATATTGTTTGTTATAAATTTAAATTATATTTACCAATATAAATTTTTACATAATCCACAGGGGTATTAGCAACAGGTTTTTCTCTAAGGCCTTGCAAAATTCTCAAATCCAAACTAATATTGGATGTATCAGTTGGTTCATTACAAAAAGGTGGCTGACCACTTGATATTTCCCATAAGAGTACACCAATACTATAAATATTGCTCAGTTTATTTAATGTGTACGAATGTATTAGGTTATTATTGTTTCTTTTTTGTTCAAGTATTTTTGGATCAAAATAAGCAACCATATCAAATAATTCCAATTGATTAAATGATTTCTCAATTCGTTTTAATAACCCAAAATCTGCTAATTTTATGATACCTTGATGAACTAATACATTTTTGGAATGCTACAATACATGTGATAAATAATTAAAAAATTAAATTAATATCTCATAATAATTATAATATTCATAACAATTACCAAATCGTGATGTAGAATTCCTTCATCATGTAAATACGATACAGCTCGAGCCAATTGAAGTGCTAAATTTAATTTATCATTCCAAGTAAGATTAATAAAATGTTCTTTCATATAATTTCGAAGGGTACCATTATTAGCATATTCCATTACTAATAAGTACTTTTTCGAATTATCTAAAAGTAATAAAAATAATTATTTTAAGCTTCTAATATTTTTTTTCCTTTTTCTTTTGAAAAGATATTAAATATTCATCATACCTGTTGTTACACCATAAAAACGAGTAATATTCTCATGAGATTTCACTTGGCACTGAAATTTAAACTAAACCATACAGTAAATTAAGTAAATTAGTATTTTAAATTAAAAACATGAATCAATATTTCATATAAAATATTTACTTCATTAATAATTTCATTGACTGTGACACTGTTGAAATTAAAAAAAGATTTCAATGTTAAATGATTGTGAGAATCCTTCCAGTTTGCACGATAGACTTTGCAGGAACTATCAGAACTAACTTGTTGAATATTACTAAAATGGTTATATTCATAATATTTAATAAAATTTTTTGCGAAAGCTTTATCAATCCATTCAGAACTATTTATAACATCGATGTTATTAGACATTTTTGAATGTAAAAAAATTTTCATTTGTAGAAGTGTGGCGTTACCACATTACTAAACCTAGAGTTATTGTTGATCATTTAAAGTTACCTGTATAATTGTGAGCTTGTGACACGTTGTACAAGTTGTACAATGATTTTTTACGTCACATCAAATTAGCATAACATTACAACCAACGACTATAACTTATGAAACTATTGGTCTATGTGAATTTAGTGTTTTAATGGAATTTTATCCAACAGATTTGGCAATTTTTCACCTTTAAGGAAATATATTTTGAGTAACAAAATAATTACACCTACACTAGTTTATATAACTAGATGGGCAATTTGAGTAGAGTTTAAAGAATAATGTTTTGGTTCTAAACTAATTTCTTCTTACTTTTTTCATAGACAGTATATTGCTAATATGGTTATATAAATTTAATAAAAATAAAAGCAATAATTTTTTATTAAACTCAAATAACGAACCTTGTTTTAAATTATGATTTGAAAGAAAAAAGCTTAAAAAATTCAAACTCAAATAATATCTTTTTTTTTTCAAGTATGTAGCAATTGTAGCATATACAGATATTATATTGAGATGGTTAATCAGAAAATAGATGACCCGTTAAGCGGCATATTCGTTAGATAGCGTGACCATCATGACCATCATGATAATCGAAGGAAAAACAATATAAATAAGTATAAATATAATTTAAATCGAGGATTGGGTGATAAGGAATATTTTGAATTACAAGATTAAGCGATACTCAATAAGTTTAGTACATCATTTTAAAAGTATTAAAATCTTTAAAGAACTTTTGTGGGTGATATAACTATAAAAATACACTACTATAATATTTATTAGTAAAAGCAGAAATGTACTAGAGAAGGTAGTAGTTTATAATGGGATCACCCAAGAATCCTGACGTTCATAATATCGACAGTCTATAATCTCGATACCAAAATCCCGATAAGTGCAAATCCCGATTGAATCAAAATCCTGACAGTCACAGAATTCCGATGATCTAAAATCTTGACAGCCAAAATCCTGTTGAGATTCGATCAGATGAATTTGAGATTACTTAATTTTTTTAATGCAATTATTTCTAATTTTAGAAGATAAGGAATAGTTTAGTAATCTAGTAATATACTGTACAGTACATAATCCTTTTAACTAAGTTTTTTCTTTAAATTTCATTAATAATATAGTAACGTTAGTTAATTTGCATTAATATTAAATAAAATTTGCAAATAATTTACATTGGTATTAATAAAATTTACAGATTATATTTTAATTATATTGATAAATTAACCCGTTACTGCGTCACTGCATTTTTAAAATTATGGAAAATTTATATAATTTTTTTTTTTTTTTTAAAAAAAAAAAAACTGTCAGAATTTGTGACTCGGGATTTTATTTCAACGGGATTTGGGTTTGTCAGGATTTTGGTGTCGGGATTGTAGACTGTCGATTTTATGGATGTCAGGAAAACCCGATTATCATAACATTAGTGTTCGCATTTACAAATATTCAAAAACTAAAATAGTCAAATAAAAAATTTCGCTAGTAAACAAATATGCAATGGGAATTGTTTGAATAAACTTTATCTGGAATGAGTTATACCACATACAGTCTATACAGTCTGACATTTTACTCTGATAAATAATTTTATATTTTTCTATCATTAGATTACATGGAAATAAACTAATTTATGCGAAAATATATTTATTTGAAAATCAATTTTCTATGTACATACAGTGTATAATTAAAAAAATGGTTTATATTCTATTATTTATTAATTAATCCGGATGAAATTTCTATTTTACTTGTATGTCAATAAAGTCAATAAAATATATCCTAATAAAAAATCAATAAAATATTAATTATACATATAAACATTATAAAATTTCTGCTAATTTATTTTGAGCATCTTGATCTCCTTGTTCTGCACATTTTTCATACCAGTAAATTGCTTGATTAATATCTTTCACATCTTCTTCATTTTCATACATAAAAGCAAGATTATATTGAGCTATTCTATATCCTAAATTTGCTGACTCTTTATATAATTCAAATGCTTTTTGTTTATTAATAATAGTTCCAATTCCAATATCATAACAATAACCTAGATTATTTATTCCACTTGCACTACCGAAATCTGCAGCCTTCTGATATAATTCAAATGCCTTGTGTTTATCAAAACTAGTTCCAATTCCATCTTCATAACAATTTGCTAAACCATTTATTCCGTATGGATTATCTAAATTTGCAGCCTTTTGATATGATTCAAATGCTTTTTGTTTATTATTGATTTCAATCCCTAAACGACTAAAATCTCCAAGTAAAACAAGAGAATTTGAATTAGTTTGATTATTTAACAACCAATAATAAATTTCTTGTGAATTAATATTACAATAATTAAGATAATTGAGGACTTCCTGCTTTTCTCTTTCTCTTTCTATATTATCAATAAGAACAACTATTTCGTCAACCACTATACTAAAATCATCTTCGTTCAATAACATTGGAGGTTCTATTTCTTTATTATTTATTCTAATAAAATTTTGAATAATTTGAGATAATTTGATACCATGTGACAAATTATTGAGTGCTTGTTCACTTGATAATTGATTTGAAATAATTGATTTTAATTTAACAATAACTTCATTGATAATTGGACGATTATTCGGTTCGTCATTCCAACAATCTAAAAAAATAAATACATATACGGTTCATAATAAATCAATATAGTAAAATTATGTATGTGAGATTAAATTATATTTACCAGTATAAATTTTTATATAATCTTCAGGGGTATTAACGACAGGTTTTTCTCTAAGTCCCTGTAAAATTCTCAAATCCAAACCAATATTTGATATATCGGTTGGTTCATTACAAAAAGGTGGTTGACCACTAGATATTTCCCATAACAGTACGCCAATGCTATAAATATTGCTCTTTTTATTTAATGAGTATGATTGTGTTTGGTGATTATTGATTCTTTTTTGTTCAATTAATTTTGGATCAACATAAGCAATCATATCAAATAATTTTGATTGAATATTAGATAATTCTTCGCTTCTTTTTGATAATCTAAAGTCTGTTAATTTGGCAATACCTTGATGAACTAAAACATTGTTCGAGTGCTATAATTATATATGTGATAAATAAAACAATTAAGTTAATAATGTGTGACAGATAGTGGCTCATTATATGAGATAAGTTAATTACCAGATTATGATGTACAATTCCTTTATCATGTAAATATGATACAGCACTAGCTAGTTGAAGTGCAATATTTAATTTATTGCTCCAATCTAGACTATCAAAATGTTCTTTTAAATAGTTTCGTAGGGTACCACTGTCAGCGTATTCCATTACTAACAAATATTTTTTTGAATTATCATCTTGGTTTTCTTTTAAGAAAGAAAAAAAAAATAATGGAATAATGGATATTAGAAATATAAAATAATATGAATTCTCTTAAGAAAAACAATAACTAAATATTTTTCATACTTATAGTAATACCACAAAAGCGAATAATATTTTCATGAAAATTCATTTCATATAGAAGTTTAAGCTAAACCACGAATAGAATTTTTAAATTAGGAAAATAAAATATCATAAAGGACTAAATTTATTTTATACAAATAATATAATTACTTCATTAACAGTTTCTTTGACTGTGACATTGTTTATATTAGAAAAAGATTTCAACGTTAAATATTTATTAGAACCTTTCCAGTTTGCACGACAAACTTTTTCAAAACTTCCAAAACCAATTTCTTGAATATTTCTAAAATGGTTGTATTCGTAATATTTAAAGTAATTTTTTGAAATAGCATCCTCAATCCAATTAATCTGCTCATCTGAATTTTTAGTGACTTTAATTTCAATGTTATTAGACATTGTTAAGTACAAAAAAAAAAGAAAAAGAATTTGCAAGTAACGCCATTCTTATAAATGTAATGCAGTAACCTGTCGATCATTTGTCATTGAACAATCGGATCACAAAAGATCGGCACTAATGTTACTTCAGCAGGCCAGAATTATATAAATTACCCACTATATAAATGACTTTATACAGTACAAAAGTATTATCATAATTGATTAAATCCGTTAAATTTATACTACTTATACAAAGAACCTGTTTTTTAAAAATATCTAATCGTCTGATTAAAATTTATATTTATTATTTTTTTCCTCGTAATAAATCTTTTTCTATTAGATCAACATAAATTTTATCTTTACTTGACCTTCCGTCAATTTTACTTTTCTTAATAAAGGAATAAAATATGTAAAAATCAAAAGACTTAAAAATAATAATTTACTTTAGCTATTCTCAACGGCCTCTTTTTATTTGATATAAGAAATATCATCTAAAATTTCGAAAAAAATTAGTTTAAATTCTAGAACAAATATAAAGTACATAAATATCTCATAATTAATATTTAAATTTTGGTACAATTTAACCATTTAATAAATTTAATGAAAATTGAAATAATCAAATTACAATTATGCCAATGGTGAGCATCCTTTAAAATTATTTAATTGCCAATCCATCTAAGATCAGCACTTGATGATTACATAATGCAAGCTATCTTTTTAATATACCAAGTACACAACTTTATTACATATTCATTACATACTAACTATCAACTGATCGCATTTATTTTTATGCCCTATACTATACGTCACCATTCAATTCGAGTTTTCCAACATTTTATAAGTAAAAACTTTTTAAAAAATTCAATGACTATTTTATTATAGTTTTCTGTATGTGTTTATGAATTTTTTTGGTATAAAGACGTTTTAATAATTTTAGTGTTTCTTAATCATGCAAAAAACGCAAACATTTGATCACGTGTCTGAGTTTTTTCGGAATAAAAAATCATTTATCGGAATTTTATCCAGAATTTTTTTTACAGGGAAAATAAGGCCACATTTGACGCAAGTACAATGTAACCAACTTTTTTCAATAGTAGGTTTTTCATATAATTATGATACGATTTTTACAGAATATAACGTTTGTGCATATGCATGCAAAACACCCATTTTTAGTATGTACACAGGAAATCTCGATAAATCAGATTAGTTGGTTCCAGTAAAAATATCCGATATATCAAGACATCCGATATATCGAAAAAATCTCGCTAAACCGGATTTATATAAAATATACGAAAAATCCGAAATATTAAGATATCACGTGATTTTTCGTTCAAAATTTTAAAATTCGAAAACGAGCGAAAGATATCCGATATATCAAAAAAGCTTCTTATACCGGATTTTATATGAAAAAGTATGTTAGGATCCGGCATATCAAAATATATATACAGCTATTTCCAAACTTTGATTAAAATATTAAAAAAAAAAGAATGGTAAAATTGTATGCAATATTTGTAAAGAATTTCGGTATAAAATGATTAATTTTGATTATGGTCAAAATTAACCATTTCAGCTGGAATTAAGCATTTTTTTAAAATTACAATAATATAAAGCTATACTAAAATAAAAAGGATACATTAACGCCAAATTTGGAAAGTTCAATATATCAAGATTTTTTTGACATAACTAATATAGAATCAAATCCGACTTATGAAATATCGCGACTTTACTAATAAAATCCGGTATATCGCGATTGTTTTAATATGACAGATTTGGTTCTGGGAGAAAAATCCGAAATAATACCAAATCCGGTTTATCGAAGATCGATTTATCGCGATCGCCTGTGTATAATGATAGTGACGATCTTAGACGATCGGTGATTAAAGAAAACTGTTATTTTTACTTGAATGATAAATACAACTTGGTATACCAGTTATTATAAAGAGTATTTTCTTTATATCTGATAAATTATTTGGCAATTGAATACTAACAAATAATTGTTTATTAATTATAATGCATATTATTTTAGTAAATGTTAAAACATTCAGTTATAATAATCAGAGTATAAATCAATGAAACTATTTAATAAGAATTCCAAAAATTATCAAATATATCATTATTCCTCTAATAGTGCTTCCAACTTATATTGAGCGTCTTGATCTCCTTGTTCTGCACATTTTTTATACCAATATACTGCTTGGTTTATATCTTTTACGCTACCATATCCATTTTCATACATATAAGCAAGATTATATTGAGCTATTTTATAACCTAATTTTGCAGCCTTTCGATATAATTCAAATGCCTTTTGTTTATTGAGATTTGTCCCATTTCCGACTTCATAACAATATGCTAAACTACTAATTCCATATGCATTTCCTAAATTTGAAGCCTTTTGATATAATTCAAATGCCTTTTGTTTATCAATATTTACTTCAATTTTTAAACTAATAAAATCTCCAAGTAAAACAATAGAATTTGAACTAGTCTGATTATATAATAACCAATTATAAATTTGTCGTGGAGTAATGTCATGATTATTAAGGTATTTAAGAATTTCTTCCTTACCACTTTCTTGTTCTATAAAATTATTATAAAGAAGAATAATCAAATCATCAACTATTAAGTGAAAATCATCCTCATTCAATGACATTGATGGTTCTATTTCCTTTATACTTATCTTACTAAAATTTTTATTAAGTTGAAATAATTCTTCATGTAATGAATTATTATTAAGCGGTTGTTCATCTGATAATTTATTTAAAATAAGCGCATTTAATTTAGCAATAACTTCATTGATAATCGAACGATTATCTGGTTCATGATTCCAACAATCTAGAAATATATAAAGTACATACAGTATATAAATAAATAATTAATCAATACCATAATATTGTATATAAATTTAAATTATATTAATTATATTTACCAATATAAATTTTTACATAATCTTCAGGGGTATTAGCGACAGGTTTTTCTCTAAGCCCCTGTAAAATTTTCAAATCCAAACCAATATTTGATATATCAGATGGTTCATTACAAAAAGGTGGTCGACCACTAGATATTTCCCATAAGAGTACACCAACGCTATAAATATTACTCTTTTTATTTAATGAGTATGATTGTGTTTGGTGATTATTGCTTCTTTTTTGTTCAAATAATTTTGGATCAATATAAGCAACCATGCCAAAGAAATTTGATTGAAGATTGGATGATTCTTCAATTCTTTTTGATAATCCAAAATCTGTTAATTTGATGATCCCTTGATGAACTAATACATTGTTCGAGTGCTTTAATTACATGTGAAAAATAAAAAAAAAAATTAAAGCAAATAAATTATACACTATTCATAATAGAAAATAAATTAATTACCAGATTATGATGCACAATTCCTTTATCATGTAAATATGATACGGCACGAGCTAATTGAAGTGCAAGGCTTAACTTATTGTTCCAATCTAGACTATCAAAATTTTCTTTTAAATAGTTTCGAAGTGTACCATTATCGGCATATTCCATCACTAACAAACAATTTTTTGAATCATCATCTTGATTTTCTTTTAAAAGAAAAAGAAAAAATAATATTAGAAATATAAAATAATATTTTTATTTTATTTAAAAAAAGTCATACCTATAGTAATACCATAAAAGAGAATAATATTTTCATGAAAATCCATTTCATATTGATGTTTAACCTAAATTATGAATAAGAATTTCAAATTAAAAATGCAAAATATTATAAATATAAAAATTAATATTGTAAATAAAAAAATGATTACTTCATTAACTATTTCTTTGACTGTTACATTGTTGATATTAGAAAAAGATTTCAACACTAAATATTTATGAGAATCATTCCAGTTTGCACGATAAACTTTTTTAAAACTTCCGAAGCCAATTTCTTGAATATTTCTGAAATGGTTGTATTCGTAATATTTAAAGTAACTTTTTGAAATAGTATCTTCAATCCAATTAACCTGCTCATCTGAATTTTCAGTAACTTTAGGTTCGATGTTATTAGACATTGTTAAGTACAAAAAAAAAAGAAAAAAAAATTGCAAATGGTAACGCCATTCTTGCAGTAATAGTACTTTAAATAGTAACCGTCGATCATTTTTCATTGCACAAAAGACACAGAAGATCGGCACTATTGTTATTATCTCGTCAGGCCAGAGTTATAATTGACATTATACAGATATATATGTTGTGCGTCAGGTGTCGATTTGCGTCAGATGACAGCTGACGCACAACATATATACAAATTTATACCATACATTGTTATACGAATAACCTGTTTCTAAACGTTAACCATCTGTTTGCTGATTCGCTTATTATTTTTTTTTAATGGATCTTTTTCTGCTTGATCACCTCTTTATTAATGATTTTCATTATCTTTTGATTTTTTACATAATCTTTTATATTTTACTCCTCTATTGATATTCATTTTATGTTCTGAGAAGAAAAGTAAAGTCTAAATAACAAAAATCTACTTTAACTGCGAAACCTTAAGGATTTTAAAATTACCAATAAAGAATCCTTAAAGGATTTTTTATATTATATTTTAAAAAATTATAAACCTATATTTTTATTATTATTTTAATGAATAAATAAATAACCAAAATAAAACGGGAACGGAAGTGACTAGCAATTCGCCACATTAAAGTTTGGCAGCATTAAGGGTTTCAACACTACAATAGTGTTAGAGCATAGGAACAGAAGTGACTGGAGACGAAGTAAATAGAATATTAATGTTCACTACTTTATTTTCTATGTTCTAGAATTTAAATTAGAAATAATTGATGTCAATGACTGTCTCATTATGGAATCCTTATGGGTGTTAAAAAAATTAGTGTCATATTAATGCACACTTTGTATACCAATCAAAATATTAAATTTAATAGACAAACATTCTTTTATGTATGAAGCATTCAAATTAGATCATAACATAAAAATCACTGAAATATTATACACTTACAATGGAAGTACCGAAGTACTATGAATATCCAATAATTACTAATATTTAAATTTTGTTACAGTTTATTCATTTAATAAATTTATTATAATAATTTAGAAAATTTAAAGTAACCAAATGAAAATTTAAAGTTATTTTACTATAGTTATGGAATATGCAAATGGGTTTCTTTTTGAAACTATTCATCTAAAATCTGCAGCACTATTACGAAATTTGTATGATTATACAGTGTAAACTCTCTTTTTGCTATATCAAATGTACAATTTTTTTGCTTATTCTATTTATGAATTTTATGATATTTAAATGTTTTAGTAATTTAATGTTACCAATCATGAAAAAACACAATTATGTCTGGACGCGAGTACAATGTAAACAATTTTTTTACAATAGCAAATTTTCGATTTTTTTAGTTTATTCTTTTTCCTTAGATTTTTATATATACGGTATGATTTTTACATAATATAAACAAGTTTATACAGTTATAGTGTTTGTGTATTTGCATGCAAAACATTAAATTTCACTCATTTTTAATATAATGTCTTTGTTTATCAAAGTAAAGTAAAAATTTTCTTTAATCATTGATCCGTCTAACTTGGTATATCAGTTATTATAAAGAGTTTGATAGTTATTTAATATACAATTGTTATTAATTATAATGCATATTACTTTAAATAGTAAATGTCAAAACATTAGTTATTATAATCAAAGTATGGCAAAAAATCAGCATTAAATATATGCATTATTCTAATAGTTCTTCTAACTTAAATTGAGCATCATAATCTCCTTGTTCTGCACATTTTTTATACCAATAAATTGCTTGGTTTATATCTTCTACAACTCCATCTCCATTTTCATACATAAAAGCAAGATTATATTGAGCTATTTTATAACCTAAATTTGCAGCTTTTTGATATAATTCAAATGCCTTTTGTTTATTAACACTAGTTCCATTTCCGACTTCATAACAATATGCCAAGTTATTTATTCCACTTAAAATACCAAAATTTCCAGCTTTTTGATATAATTCAAATGCTTTTTGTTTATCAACATAAGTTCCAGCTCCAACTTCATAACAACTTGCTAAACTACTAATTCCAAATGCATTTCCTAAATTTGCAGCCTTTTGATATATCTCAAATGCCTTTTGTTTATCAACATTTACTTCAATTCCTAAACTAAGAAAATCTCCTAGTAAAACAACAGAATTTGAATTAGTCTGATTATATAACAACCAATTATAAATTTGTTGTGGAGTAATGTCATGATCACTAAGGTAATCAAGAACTTCTTCCTTTCCACTTTCTTGTTCTACATTATCAAGAAGAATAACTAAATCATCAACCACTATTTGAAAATCATTCTCATTCAATGACATTGATGGTTCTATTTCTTTTATACTTATTTTATTAAATTTTTGAATAAGTTGAAATAATTCTTCATGTAATGAAGGTTGTTTACTTGACAATTTATTTAAAATTATTACATTTAATTTAGCAATAACTTCACTAATAATCGGACGATTGTCTGGTTCATGATTCCAACAATCTGAAAAGACATGAAGTACATATATAAATAAATAATTAAAAAATACAATAAATAATTTAAATAATATTTACCAATATAAATTTTTGCATAATCTATAGGAGTATTAGCGACGGGTTTTTCTCTAAGACCATGTAAAATTTTCAAATCCAAACATGTATCAGATGGTTCATTGCAAAAAGGTGACTGACCACTAGATATTTCCCACAAGAGTACACCAATGCTATAAATATTACTCTTTTTGTTTAATAAGTATAATGATGCTTGGTGATTATTGATTCTTTTTTGTTCGAATAATTTTGGATCAATATAAGCAACCATGTCAAAGAAATTTGATTGAAGATTGGATGATTCTTTAATTCTTTTTGATAATCCAAAATCTGTTAATTTGATAATCCCTTGATGAACTAATACATTGTTCGAGTGCTTTAATTAAATGTGAAAATTAAAAAGAAAAAATTAAATTAAAGTAATAAATTATACACTACTTATGATATAATATAAATTAATTACCAAATTATGATGCACAATTTCTTTTTCATGTAAATATGATACGGCACGAGCTAATTGAAGTGCAATATTTAACTTATTGTCCCAATTTAAACTATCAAAATGTTCTTTTAAATAGTTTCGAAGTGTACCATTATCGGCATATTCCATTACTAACAAATAATTTTTTGAATCATCATCTTGGTTTTCTACTAAAAGAAAAAAAAAGAATAACATTAGAGATATGAAATAAATTTTTTTTTTTTTTTTTTTAAAAAAAGTCAATAACTAATAATTATCATACTTATAGTAATACCACAAAAGCGAATAATATTTTCATGGAAATCCATTTCATATTGACGTTTAAGCTAAATCATGAATAAGAATTTTTAAATTAGGGAACGCAATATATCATAAATATAAAAATTAATATTGAAAATACAGTATAAAAATGATTACTTCATTAACGATTTCTTTGGTTGTGACATTATTGATATTAGAAAAAGATTTTAACGTTAAAGGATTACGAGAATCTTTCCAGTTTGCACGATAAACTTTTTTAAAATTCCCGAAACCAATTTCTTGGATATTTCTGAAATGGTTGTATTCGTAATATTTAAAGTAATTTTTTAAAATAGCATCTTCAATCCAATTAACCCGTTCGTCTGAATTTTCAGTGACTTTAATTTCGATGTTATTAGACATTGTATAGCGTAAAAAAGAAAAAAAAAAAAAAAAAAAATTTTTGCAAAAATGGTAACGCCATCCCTTATAAACGTAAATATCCGTCGATCATTTCACAAAGGACACAGAAGATCGACACTAATGTTACTTTCTTTGTCGTCAGCCGGAACTATACAAATAACATAATTATTAGTTAAAATCTACAGATCTTTACATTACTACATTGTATATAGATTTGTTATCCTAATTATTATCGCCGAAGGGCGAAGGTATGATTTCTGAAAAAAATTAACTAAATGTTCGTTCTTATTTTTGTAGGTCCAGAATTTATTATTACTAGATCTGTCAAATTTATACCATATGATATTGTTATGTAACGACCTGTTTCTAAAAGAGTATCTAACCATCTTTCTGTTTAATATTTATTATTCCTCTTTGTAATAAATCTTTTTCGACTAGATCAGCAGAATTTATTAATAAGTTATGCAATATCTGTTTTACACTTTTACATATAAAAATGACATCATGAAACAAATAAAATGTAATAAGATTACCATAGAAATATTATACACAAGTCATTCATTATCTTATAACTAATGAATGTAATTAATTATTTGATAAATTTTTTCATATCAGTTAGAAAATTTAAATAATCAAATTGAATGAAAAGCTATTTTAATTAATGAATAAATCAATTATGGTATCCTTTAAACTATTTAAAGAAAACTTCCAATTGATGTGAATATTTTGATAATTATTTTATTTTGTCTGACAAACTATTTACATATAATTGTTAATACATAGTATTCCAGTAAATATCTAAACGTCATTATAACTCAAGTATAGTACATTAATGAAACTATTATTAACATTCTAATAAGAACTCCAAAATCATTAAGCATATTATTACTCCAATTATATTTAGCGCATTTTTTAAAACAATAAATTGCTTGTTTTATATCTTTTACAGCTTCTTCTTGTTCATACATATTATAAAATAAAGTATTTATTTTTATACTTTTCTTTGTACATAATTAATTAATATGGTTATTAGTAATAATAGTATGCAAGGCAAAGAAGGGAAATAAGCAAGATTTATATTGGGCTATATACATCACCTAAATTTTCACTTTCTGATATACAGTAATTCAAAGTACAATAATTTTCTGAATTATTGATTTGAAATTAATATGAATTTTTCTCATACTTATCTAAAAAAATAAATAATTTACTTGTGAGATTTCATTTGGTGCTGAAGTTTAAGTTAGAATTTTAAATCAGAAACGTGTAAATACAAATGATATAATTACTTTATCTAACGATAATTTTCCAGTTCACAAAAGACTTTTCCGAAACCTCTGTAACCAACTTTTTGAATGATCGAATTTGTAAATTTTAAATGGGTGATATAGATAGACGAGAATTCTATAGATATGTGTGGAAATTTTGACCAAAGAAATCATCTCGAAATAAGTAATAGTGGTAAAAATAAATTAGTAATATTTTTTTAAGCAAAGAAACTCGCATTTTATAGTCTAGAATCCTATCTTCATATATTTCATTTATTACTCTGACCACTCGCCAATGGCAATAATAGATCCGATAGTAAAATTATATCTTATGTTCTAATGCCACGAAAATTTGCCAGATACGAGATTTTAACATCATCATTCGCTTCATACATTTCATCAAAATCATCAATGATACTATTCCAATTGCTTTTCATAAATACCGTAAGGAAATCGGCAGAAGTTATTATACAGTTAGTAAAAAAATTAATTTATCAGTAAAAAATTTATGCGAAAGAAATGTGTGCTACGAAAAAAAAAAGATGATTATCTCAAGCAAATGTGATATGACTATTTTTTTTTTGTTGTACAATATAATATATCCCAAGTCATTGGCTGAGTTTACAGTCACATTATTAAATTAAAAAAAAAAAGTAAATTAATATTGGTAAAAGAACATATATTGCTATATTTCTATATTTTTGCTTTGGACAGTTAGCTACATGATGTAATCAAGCTTTTCCAGTCATTGGATATAGTGACACAGATTTACAGATAATAGAGGTATCATAATAAGTGGATAAATGGATAAACTATAATAAACTATATACTGTGTACATTATTTATTATTTAAAAATAATTAATATTACTTTTAATATGAATCAATAAAATGTATTTTTTCAAATTTTGGCACGTCAGTGGCAAAATTTATAGCCGATAACCTATTATATTTCCCATATTATTACGCGTGTCAGTTATCATCTGATGATATATTTATCGTTATACTATTCAAATGAATATTGCATAAGTAATTTTGTGGTCGTTATCCGACTACGTGTTGAATGGAAGCTGTGCAGGAAGCGACTTACTAATATCCATTTTGACAACATTTATTTTTGTCACTGCATGTCCGTCAGTCCGTGTAATAGTTGATCATTTTTATTCTATCTAGAATATCAATGTAAGCCGAGTATAGATATAAATAAACTGACGATTGACTCGTTTGCACATATATTTTTTTTGATTTATCATATTGTATGGACATAGATAACAGGGTCTTTCACATGAACAAAGATGATTTATGAAAAATAAGATGTAAACAAAATTCGAAACAAAACTTTTCTTAATATCTTAACATCAAAGGTAGGATAGAATAGCGTGAATCAGAGGATCATTATTTCGCATGTATTTTTTCCTTACTAATTTATTTCAAAATCTTGCAATAAATTCGATATTTATACATTTTATGAAAAAATGTTTGAATACATACTGTATTCTCCAAGTATAATTCGTGTTGTCCGTTTCTTTCTTAATATAAAGAAGTCATCAAAAATTTTTTTCATGGGATCACTGTTGTGAAACAAATTAAGATGTGGAACCCGTCAGATGATGAAACTCAAAAATATTGAGTCAATCATTGAAAGTGAAAGCATTTGTGAATCAGTTGTCAAGTGAAGGTTTAGACCTTAAAGGCGTGTACTGATGAAAATAGAGATCATGTGTAAAGAGATATGATATTGATATGACTTTAAACTACAGTAAATCTTTTATTATTTATTTTTTTAGCTAATAATAGACTATTGCATAGCTTATTCTAATATAGAAAAGTTAATACTTAATTTGAGCTTATTACAGTATCGCAAATAATGAAGAATCATGATAGTAAAAGAAATATATTTTAACATACTGTATGTTTACATAAAATCCAAGATTGCAGTTTGCTGTCATAATTTAAGTTTAGCGTTAAATGACTCATTAGTCGATTATCCAGCTAACGCACTTTATTCCAATAATCTTATTAAATGTCTAACGATACTGAAATTTTGCCAATAATAAAGAATCGTGAATTGGTACTTTATTACTTTATCGCAATATTTATCGGAGAATGCTATTGGTCGATATGAGATCATTCTTATAATGATAATAAATTAGTATATTAACATGTTGAAAGTATCTGATTTAAAAAAAAGCATGCATCAATTGAATAATATTCACAATCAATATCGTAAATAATTCTTATTAAAAGACTCTTATTTTTTATAATTTATTAAAATAATTTCTTCTACATAAAAGTTTGAATTTTTTTCGTTTAGATAAAAAAAATGTTCCTCAACATTATCATCTTTCACAAGCTTTATCTTTCAAATATACGGTGACTATTTCGTAAGGTAGCACTAAGAGATAAATGTTAATTATTTAAGCCCAATTGATTTTCAGAAAAAAAAAAAAAATTTTAAATCTTCGAGTTTTATAGTCTTGGCATAACATTATAAAATAAATGGAAATCATATATATAGTTAATTTAATGACCTGCAGAAAAATAACTTAAAGTTTTATTTAATAAGAGATTATATAGAGAACTATATTTACTATTTCGTAAAAATAATAAAAAATAATTTAGCGAATTTAATTGATTTATATTTTACAATTTGTTAATTACAAATTATCAATTTTTTTAAATTTATCTAATTTATGTTGTGCATTTTGAGATCCTTGTTTGGCAGATTTTTTATACCAATAAATTGCATTATCTACATCTTTTGTAATTCCTTTTCCGTACTCATACATAATACCAAGATTATATTGTGCTATCATATTTCCCAAATTTGCTGACTTTTGATAAAATTCAAATGCTTTTTGCTCATCAATATTAGTTCCAATACCTTTTTCATAACAATATCCTAACATTGTTATTCCACCCGAGTATCCTCCTTCAGCTGATTGCTTACACAATTCAAAAGCTTTTTCATAATCTTTTTCAACACCAATTCCATCTTCATAACATAGTCCAAGATTACACATAGCTTTTATATTTCCATTATTTGCAGCTTTTTCATACCAATAAATAGCTTTTTTTAAATCATTTTTAATTCCTATCCCACTATAATATAAGTAACCAATTTTTAATTGTCCATTAGCAAAATCTTCATTAGCCACTTTATCATAATATTTAAACGCTAATTTTTTATTTTTTTTAGTTCCATATCCATATTGATAACATTCACCAACATAAGTTTGTGCTAATATATGATCTTTTTCTGATGCGCTAATAAATAAATTAAATGCTTTCTCATTATTTTTATTTATTTCAATTCCATGATAATTAAAATATCCAAGTAAAAAAATTGGATTTGACCCATTTTGATTATTTATTAACCAATTATAAATTTCTTGTGAATTAGTATTTGAGTTATTAAAATATTCAATAACTTGTTCATTAATTAATTTTCCTTCAATTCCTTTATTTGTCAATTTAAAAATTAAATCATTTACTTTATCAACTATTATATCAAATCCTTTTTCAAACGAAAGTTTTTCTCGTTCATTTGTAGTTGTTATAGGATCAATTTCTTTTATATTCATTTTGTCAAAATATTGAAAAAAATGAGATAATTTTTCTTGTAATTCTGAATTATTGGTACTTAAAATTTGCATTTTCTTATTATTAGACATATTGTAATTGAAAAAGAGTTTTTTTAAAAAAATGATACGATTGAATGTGAGAATGTCAAA